CTGAATAGTAATTTGACGACACTTTTTCTTAATCACCCTAACAAGCTATCTTGTTTTATTATGATTTTTTTAATATTGCACTCGAATTAATGTTTTTTAAATCGGAAGCACGACAGAACTACGAACTTAGTAGGCCACATTTGCCACTTAGTAACCTGACAGTCAAATTTGGTAACTTCTATTGATTACTAGTTATAAATTTTTAGTGGACAAGTTACGAATATCTATCATACAGAAAATAACTTGGTCAGAATGTGTAATCTGTACCATAATATGCGGGTCAATATCATGCAAGAAAGTTGATGATTCTACAGTGCTCGGATTACTTAACCGCTTTTAAAGAGTTGACTTGATTCTATAGTAAAAATGTGTGCCTTGAGAGTAAAGTCTAATCAAAAGGTAGAAGACTTAGTGCTCAACATTGACCTTATATGCCTATTGATGCTGGAATATACAACGCAGTATGCATATATTCCTATGCCTTGAAATTAGTTTCAACATGTAAATCACTCAGGTTTCGGATGGATGCTTGAACTTTATAATAAGAGGAATGAGTTGTTCTGATTCACAACAACCATGTACAGTGATTCCCAAACTAAGCTTTTTAATATGAATGATCAAGGTACATTAAAGGTAAACGTTTGCGACTCACGCGATCACCTGTTATTAGAATAAAAATATTATGTACAGAAGTTAAACACTTTTCCATTTTGTGTACGCAAGTAAGTGAGAAAGCTCACGTGATATGAGCATGTACTTTTTGTGAACTAACTGGGTAACCAAACGACACAGTTGAGCTTCTTGTAACTGGTTCATTATGACATGTTTAAAACCTCGAAAGTATTTCATGAACGAATGACATTTCAAATCTAGCAGATGGAATATGCATTAACAATTGTAACTTAGTTACCCCCATGTTTAATTTGTATTCTAAACCTAAATGAAACCATGAAACTACAAGTCGAGTTTTTTGTGTTTAAGCGCATCATTAAGATTCATGTTTGGGTCAAATAAGTTTGTGTTTATCCGCGGCACTTCAGATTTTCTCATGAATCGTATTTATTTTTTCGGGCTACTGTGTCTCGTCATTATGTACTGTTTATAGTTATTTTGGCCGTCTCTCATTGAACCTCTAACCAGATGAGGGTTATAAAACATTGTGGGTGACTAGAATTTGGATTTTCAGTAGGTAGTTAAGGTTAGGAATTTGATTTAGGGTTTTCATCAGAAACTGACTCTAGCTATATTGCCAAAACTCGATTTATCCAAGTAGTTGAGTGATTTTTGCGCCGAAACCTTGGACCTGTTATCTTATACCTGATTGGTCCGTGCATAAATTATAGCCTCGCCGAATTACTTTTAAGACAGGCAAGAAAATCTAACTATTTCTAGTGGTTTTTACCAAACTATAAGGGATTATTATCATCAATAATCTACAACATAGGAAATTCTATTATTCAGGTTTTTTTGTTTTTAAGTATCACATGTGTGATTTGACTGTACTAATAAAGGGAACCCTTGTGATATAAAATATAAGGCTGAGTTTGTGTGTATAAGTGTTTAAACTTAGAGCCAAGAGTTTTTTGTGTACACACAGGAGAATAATGATATCCTATGTCTGATACCTTTGTGGCAAATTGTTATAAACTGATTATTCTATTTTGACTTTCATCTCGATCTTACCCAATGATTCTAGACTTCATTTCTACCGCCCTACCATAATATTAATGCATATTAGTGATCTTGTATATTAAAAAAACATCCAGTTGGGAAAAGAGTTACTTACAAAACTCAGCACGCAAATGGCAGTTTGGTTTGTCTGGTATCTGTTCCGTACAGTGCTAGTCTGTCTGTCGTTCCGTATTTAAATAAATTGAGAGCCAAGTTAAATCCATTGGTAGTTTTTTCTCTAAATTAAGTTAAATTTAACTACATGCACCAATTGGTGTGGGATCATGTGCATGAAAAAGCGATGGTCTATTAGATATTTAATAGGAGTGAATCTTATCAAAAATCCAGCTAACTAGATTATCCACGGTACCCACAGAGATAATCAAAATGTAAAATCGTCTACATGCTTTAAATTTAAACGATGTATCTTGCCCTTAATCTGGCTATTTTTTGGATTATTAATTTGAATATATAATTGTAGAAGCTGAAGAGAATTTATCGGAAAGAATATTCTTCGTCCAAATATTAGTCTTCCAAAATCGTTCATTAAAGGACCTTTCGAAAGTTAATTCTTGTTTCAAATGAGAAGCAAACTTAATCGCTTCATAATCCCTACAAAAGTAGGGCATGAAAAGTCCATCTTCACCATGCTTTCTGTTCTATTGATGATTTGTAAAATAAAATGCAATCAATAAGGCTGGAAAAATGCTTTTCTGGAATAATTACCATATGAAAAAGTTTCCAAGTCTAGTAGTCTACAAACATTTTAAAATTGAATAATGTTTTACCAAGCATAACAAAAAGTTTTCTAAAATCACATTTACACCGTAAAAGGTAAGATGTAGTTCAGTCATACAGTTAAGCACTAAAATTACCGCATTCTTGGAAAGTGATTCAATCCAAAGATTATTCGAGGCATAGTGCGAGCTTACCTTCATACAAACCTGACATATCATACATTGAAGATAGTCCCTAATCATTGAGATATCTATAATGTTAGTTAGGATATAAAGGACTAGTATGCTGAATTCCTGAAATGAACTTTTAATAAACTGAAGCCTAGACCAAAACAGTGCGAAAGTTATTATCACGCAACTTCATTAAATATGCAACTATCTGGAGCGGTTTCTTGACTGTGTAACTGAAGAGCACCTTTGGTTGTCAAAAATTTTACTCTGTCATTTTTATAGTCTTTACCCTAGATATTAGTGGTTACTAAGTTCATGATCTTTGTCCTTGATCCGTCTCTCTGGTTTACTATATATCCTGCTAGTTTCCTCGCCGTGTCATATGGTTGTTTCCTATTTCCTTCTGTTCCAACTTTTTTTACTGTCTTCTGCTTGTCGGTTCTAATGCTCTTGCTCACATGTTTGTTTGCTTCAGTGTATTTAGCTCGTGCCTTGACTTTTCCTGCTCGTGTTCGGCTGTTGTTAATTGCTGTCTTCTTGCTCTTCCTTTCTTCAATCCTGTCCGGGGTTTCGATAGAGACCCATTTCTTATGATGATGCTTCTTGCGTCCCAGAACCCCCTGACATATTGAAAATAGTGGTTCTTTGATCCCTTTCCAATTGTCCTCCATAGTAGTTTCCTCTTCTTCCAGTAAATCTTTTAAGACTTGAAACCTGTTATTGAGAGCTATCTTGAATTCGCTGAGTTTTTTAGCATCTCGAAGGTAGGTTGTATTGCACCTCTGTAATGCTGTTTGTTCAATTGTTCCGTGCTTCTTTAGCTTCAGTTTTATCCTGGCAACCACCACGTGATGGTCTGAAGCTATGTCAGCTCTTTTTCTGGTTCTAACGTCTTCCATTGTTCTTTTGAATTTTTTATTGATACAAATATGTTCTGTCCGGCTCTCCGTGATGTAGTCTGATGACACCCACGTAGCTTTGTACATATGTTTGTGTGGGGATATTGTACTGCCTATAACCAATTTGTTGCCCTGGTCGTTAAAAGTCAAAGAAGCCTCGTGACATCCGAAGAATTTTGGCTTTCATCATGAGGCTTCATTATTCTTCCTTCAACTCGGATATCAGTTTAAATGGTTTAATATGTTTATTCTGGTCTGCGATTTTTTTCTTCGCAACGGGTTACCAACCCCATGACCAATCCTTGTCCTTTGTGTGGGCTTTGAACCGGCAGCAACTATAGAAGAGCTACAGTTCGAGTTCCTCATGAAAGTAGCTTTAGTCAAATCTAACTCTTTTCATCGTTTGAGTTTAGGAAGTCAAATTTAAAGTCCTGGCTTAAGTTCACTTGCTTGGAATGTTGAACTGATCATGTATTCTAGGTGATGTATAAATTTAGTGAATTGTTTAGTTACAACTAATAAAAACGCTAACTATCAACTTTATCAAGATCCACAAGAAACTTTTATTCAACCATTGTATGACGTCTCAGGCTTATATGATTCCAAATAGGTACCTAGTTGCAAACTTATTATCTCTTAATATATATCTCAATAGAAATATTGTTTAGATTTGTAACCGACCTATGAATATTTAAAATAACGTGAAAGATAAAAGAAAACAGTTATAATAGCTCAATAAATAATCATATATTACTTTTCCTAGTTACCTCCAATGTTTATTTTACTAACTCTATTCACATTTCATCCGAATCTCATTTGTTGGCAAAAAATTATAACGAAAATATACAGATAACACCATTAATTTACTTATAAGCACAATAAGATGTTTATGTAGTGTTTTATTAGTATTTTCTGATTAAATGATTTTTATTAGCAGTTCATAGAGTACCATGCACTTAGTCACTTTCATAACAATTATTTGTTTCAACTATCTGTATGGCATGATGATAAAATTTTACTAAATGCATCATTGTAGGGAATGATTTAATTGTGTTAGGTAGTACAGTTTATTAATAAGAACTGGTTTACTATTTTGCTATCTCTAAGTGGTGTAAAATTCAACATAAGACAAAAGTGATAAACGTTTCACTTGGTGTTGTTTGGTTTGTATCTTCCCATTGAGGTTTAAGACTGCAATTGATCAGTCTCAGAGTGGAAATCAAGTCTGAGATGCAGTTATATTAAGCTGACGAGTCCCAAATGGGACGAAACGCTCGTCCTGGATTCCACTGCTAGCCACTATCCATCATTGCTTACTACAGAGAGATAAACGTTTGCTGTAAATTATTTCTCAATGATTATTTCCTGTTGAAAGATAATGTCTAAAAATAAAATTCTTTTACATTTTGGTTTTCTGTTTATAGAATCTTAACGCTTTATAAAATTTAATAAACCTTAATACACCTTCATTGTTACTGAAATCAAGTTCAAAGAAATTGAATCAATTGGCGCATAAATTTCCATGATGCGTGAGAGTATTCGAAGAGGACCAGTTGTATGTGATAATTCCTATCCTTGTTCCACACATGAAATGTCATGTAAACATTTTAAATCCTCATCACCATTTAAATGTCATAAGAAGTATGGGACTGGAAGAATGAAACTCTCATCCAAAATATGTCATAAAAAGGATACTGGAAAGTTAGTTTTTATTAATTTGATATACTACATCTGTTTACAGTTAAGTCTTTGACTTTTGACGCAATAGTTAGTGTTGATTTCTTCTGATATTGATTGGTTTGGCTCAAAGTACTGAGTGCTCAATTTTACGCTATAGACTTGTATCAAATAGCACGAATTAAACATGCAGAAGTTTGTAATTCCATTCCACATATGAAATCAATTTTCATTTACACAGTTTCTTGGACATTGTAAAAATATTTGTCTCAGGTTTGTTGATAAGTTTATTTCATTGTTGATAACAAAATGATAACACAGCCCCCAAATGCCCTGGTACGGCCGAGAGTGAGGAGTGTCAGTTCTCCCGCTCTCTAGATGCTCTCACATGATCACGCATATACAGCCACTGTCAAAGAAGTCCTACTCACCTCCTTCTCGCGGCGAGGTTTTTGTCTACGAAATTGAGAGGTCGGAAAGCGAATGTTCAGCGTTTATTCGGGTTGGTGGACATGAAGGGTCTACCTTTGGAAGTTAGAGAAACCTGATTTTAAACTAATGGTGCACATAGGCTCCAGTATCCCAGGGGAACAAATGGCATATGAACCAACTATTGGTCACCGATTAGCATGAGAATGCATCTTCTTACGTTACCTCACTGCCATATGAATCAGACCTTTAGGTCAAAGGCTTCAGGCGTTTCCCCTTAGGAAAACCACCTGCTTCGTTCTGGACACCCGGAAAGTATCACAGCCCACACACAAATCTAATGACGAAGTGTGGTACATATGTATTCAGTGTCCCTTTGTATCAATATTTATATGTTCAAATAAATAAATGAATAAATAAATAAAATCTTCTCTATTCCATATTAATAAGTTACATGTGACCAAATTTAAAGGAACTGAAATTTGAACAGATCATAAGTAAAACTAAAATGTGTATTTGTATAGTCTAATATATGTCACACTTTTTCTTCTATTTAGACATGAAACACCTAGTCAAAACTCTTCAGATATTTGTCAACTAGATAATATTCCTAGTAGTAACAGTGAGAATAGTTCAATGAATATTAATTCTGATGATAATATAAAAGAATCTATACTGAATCCTATTAATATGGATAATTGTAGTATTCTTCAACATGAACATTGTAATGATACACAATCTAACCAAAATATCTTTTTTGATTTATTATCTAAACTTGAAAGACATTTGGATGAAGAGAGAAAAGCCGTAAGTTTTAGAAAAAAAATATTAATTGAATGAATTTTATTTATTTTATTTTATTTTAACACATAAGTATAGGTACAGGGAGGCACCAAGTACATATGCGCCACACGAATCTCAATTGATTTGTGTGAGGGCTGTGATACTGCCCGGGAGCCCAAACCGAAGCAGGTAATTGAATGAATAATTGAAGTTTATATGCATTAAGCATTATTAAAGTAAAACATTCATGTGTTATTTAAATTTATATTCTTTTGAAAGCTCTTGACTTTATAGAAACAGTTCTGTGTGAATAGATCACTTTATGATGAACAAGATAAGTACAGAATGAGATGTCAATACTTAACTCATCAAATCTTGTTCAAATCGAGATTTGAACATGATTGGATGACATTTTATAAAGCTTACTTATCTTTGATAAGTTTTGGTTGTAATTATATTCTTGAAGAAGCTCGAGTCAGTTTTCTAGACGAAACGTTTAAATTATTCAAATATCAATATTCGTGATTACTTCAAATATATTATGTTTACATTTAATTTGTTCTACATATTTGGGATCCAGGTTTTATCGAATTTTCCTTTAACATTTTGGCAAAGTTTTATATACGATTAAAGCAACGTTTTCATAACTCTCTACATCATATATTTTATTCTTTGGTCAAATAGTTTATGAAGGTTAAATAGCGCTGTAGATATTTTTCATCACAAACTATTATTGACTAAAGAATTGTCATAAACCGAGGAGCAATAGATAGTTCTCATATTTTACTTGGGAACTCCTAAGCAATGGATCCATACGACTCTTTAAGGAATCGGATTTAGGACTTCCAGGTTACATGATGATCATTTCATTTTTAAACTACTAGAAAAAAACCTAACGCTCTATATTTTCCAAATTCAGTTATCATTGGCAACAACTTACAGAAAGGAAAAAGCAAGTTCCTCAAATACAGCAAAGAGAACAACAATCTTATCACGCTTAATGAAGAAGCTCTAGAAGATGTGGAGTCTTTCACGTACCTGGGAAGCATCATCGATGTACAAGGAGAATCGGATACAGACGTAAAGGTGAGGGTTGACAAAGCAAGGGACGCATTCCTCACAATTGAAGAAAATACGGAACTTAAAACAACTGTCAAACCAACATCAATGTCACAATCTTCAATACGAACGTCAAGACAGTTAGTTCTATTGTATGGAGTTGAAACTTGGAGAACCACTAAAACCATCATCCAGAAGGTAAAAGTATTTATAAACAGTTGTCTATGCAGCATACTCAATGTCGATTTGCCGGATACTATCAACAAAAATCTACTGTGGGAGAGAACAAACCAGGCTCTAGCTGAGAAGGAAATTAGGAAAAAAATAATGGAAATGGATGGGACATACATCATGGAAATCACCAAAGTGCATCACGAGGCAAGCACTTACATGGAATCCTGAAGGGAAGCGGAAAAGATGAATGCCGAAGAACACACTGAGTCGGGAATTTTAAACATATATCGAAAGGATGAATAGTAACTGGAAACAACTGGAAAGGATTGTTCGAGACAGAGTTGGATGAAGAATGCTGTTGGGCTGTCTATGCTGCTCGATAAGGGGTTACAGCTGTAAGTACCACTGGCAAATTACCTCCCGAAATCTGCCATGACTACAAACTTAGTATTAGAACTTTAAAAAATTCATCTTTTAGCATGTCACCGTTAATCCCCCAAATGCCCCGGTATGGCCGAGAGTGGGAAGAGTTCACTCCCCCTCTCGAAATGCTCTCACATGGCCACGCGTATATAGCCTCTGCCAGGGAAGTCCTACTCACTGCCTTCTCGTGGCATTACTATTGTTTGCAAAATCGAGAGGACGAAAAGCGAATGTCCGTCTCTTTAACCAGGTTGGTGGACACAGAGGGTCTACCTAGGGGAGTTGGAGAACCCTGATTTTAAACCAATGGTGCACATGGGCTCCAGTTTCACGAGGGAACAAATGGCGTATGAACTAATTATTGGTCACCGGCTACCATGGGACTGCATCTTCTGAAGTTACTCTACTGCCACGTGGATCAGAACTTTAAGTAGAAGGCTCCGGGCGTGGCCCCTCAAGAAAACCATCTGTTTCGGTCTGGGCCTCCGGGCAATATCACAGCCCACACACAAATCAAGTGACTTGTGTGGCGCCTATGTATTCAGTGCCCCTCTATACCAATATTTATGTGTTCAAATAATTAAATAATAAATAAAATCCCATAATCTGTATACCTTGCTGGGAAGGGTTGGTTATCATGAGATTTTACACAGCATAAGTGTTTTTACTATCATAAAACATCATGAAATGAATAATCATTTAAAAACTATTATTTTGCCAGTAAATTTCATTCTGGTTTATGACTTATAGTAGTACCTAAACATAATGATAAACTGAATTGTTTTTAATTCACTTGATATTGTTTTACTTGAATCTTCCCATTGATGTTTAAGACTGCAATTGATCAGTTTCTCATATTGGCATATGTGCATACTGTGCGTATTGCCTCGATATTACAAGTCCCAAATAGGATGAAACGCGCGTCCTGGATTCCACTGCTAACCACTATTCATCTTTGCTTATAATGAATTGTTTTTGTTGTGATCTGCTTAACTCATTTGTTAAGAAAGAAATGTTTCAGTCTCAGAATTACAAACTTGTCAATATCAGACAATCATACTGAGTATTTTGTAAACTAAGAATATCATTTAAAATAAACAGAAATTTCGAACATGAATAGAATTACTTGTATACACAACACTGTGTTTCATCCGTACTATCGAAATACAGTTTGAAATGCTGCATTCATTTTCTTTTGTTTTTGTTTTTGTTTTGTTTTGTTTTGTTATAATTATATTAAATAGAATAGATTGACTGTGATTGGGTTTTCTAATAAGATGGTTAGGATTCTGAGAAACTTTATGATAAAACTTTTTGGTAGTAATAATGGTGAGAATATAATATATAAACGACATTTGAGCGAAACTAAAGCGACCTTGATAATGTCTACCTATGTACTAGGGCTAAATGAATGTTATAAAAGCAGTTTGAAGAATAAGGATTATGATTTACAGTTGATGGTTATGGTGAAGAATAAGATTTCAAGTTTTCATTAGTTATAATAGCAAGACTTGATTTAGCAAATTCAGTGAATGAATTTCGCACCTTGTTACCGTAAATCTGATTGGTTCGTCCATAAATTATAATCTCGCCGAAATTATAATTAATAACTATAGGAACATTTTAAGCCAGCTTATATTTTCAATTAAATACGATTTACAAAAATGTGTTGTGTCAGTTGCTATGTTAAGCTCACATAGTTTCTTGTAGCTTTTGGACAGGCTAATTTATTCATTCTTCTTAAGTCACATTTTGAACTTGTTAATTATCCACTTATCAACCTTGACTGTTTTTATATGAGCATAATCTTCTGAATTCTTTATGTCTCTTTTTTTCTTCTTTCCAAATTTATTTCACTAGATTATACTCTTTAAATAACATCTTCAAACCCTAATGTTTCTGATTACTGCTTATACTCTTACCACCTCTACCACTACGGGATTCGAATCGAAAATTGTATCGCAGTGCTAATGTAATGTAATATGGCAACTCGAACTGATGTGCATGCGTACGAAGTTCCATGTTGTTACTGACTAACTGACTGATTGAAACCACTGAGCTGGCCGGCATCCAACGGTGTTAATGTCTAACTTCAACTAATCCACGAAATTGAGAGACACACCTACCATTGTCTTCAGTGAATTACTATCTCACAACAGACCCAGTTGAACTCCATTGGTATGTACGAAGTTCTACGTTGTTGATGACTGACTGACTTATATGAGCATATGTATGTGTACATCTTATCCTACTGAAAAAATGTCTTTAGCTTATTTTTATGTGACTATAAATATTGATTAATGCTTGATTAAATGAAGTTGGCTCACATTTCTTCTCCACTGCGTGTCATTTCGCTTCACCCTCTTCGTTTCATTCCTCTGATTATCTGTCCAGATCAATAAGTGTATAAAATATACCTATTCAAAACTTCAGTCTCGTATTCGACTTTATTGAATTCCATTATTGACGAACGCGATCTAAGTCGATGATTATATACGAGGATAGGCGACATATGTATATTTCAATAACGATCATTCATACAATCTAATTGAAGTTAAATAAAGATTCCACAAATTGTTTTCTTTTTTTTATTATTAGAATGCAAAATTACAAGTTGAATTAATGAATAAAACTGAATATGAAAAAAAAATATCTGATCTACGATCCAGTTATGAAGCGGAAGTATTTCGTTTACAAAATGTGATAACACGTTTACAAGTAAAATGAAAAAAAAAGTTTTTTTCCAGATCTATTTTTGTCAAAATATTTTAGGTATTGATGATTTTGTTTTTATCAGAAGGGATTGTGTGGAGATTTTAGAAATTTCACTGGTTGAAATCATGAATCCATTGAAGCTAGACCACCATGGAAAACCTGGAAGCACTGGACGGCCGTTTCGTCCTAGTATGGGACTCCTCAGCAGTGCGCATCCACGATCCCGAGTTCAACCAGGTCTGTCGTGAGATATCAGCTCACTGAAGACAATGGTGTACGGTGGCACAACTTCGTGGATTGGTTGAAGTTAGACATTAACACCGTTGGATGTCGGCTCAGTGGTCTAGTTGGTTAAGCGCCTGGCGCGAGACTGATGGGTCCTGGGTTCGAATCTCGCGAGGAGCGGGGTCGTGGATGTGCACTGCTGAGGAGTCCCATACTTGGACGAAACGGCCGTCCAGTGCTTCGAGGTTTTTCATGGTGGTCTAGTTTCAATGGATTCATGATTTCAACCAGTGAGGTTTTGTTTTTGTATATATCTTTCCTAAACACTGATTCTATTTAAGCCTAATTAAATTGTACTATGCTATGACTATGATAAAATAAGACTGTTGATAATGGATGTCAATCAGTCAGTCAGTTACAACGTAGGACCAGGTGGTACATATATACATCGATCCAAGTTGTCATACTTCATTAGCACAACAAGATGAACACCGGATTCATAGAAGTAGTTAATCCAATGGTGATAATATCTAAAACAAAGATTATATATAAGGATATAATATAGGAAGAAAGAATTAATTGATAGAAAGACAGATATAAAACAATTTTAATATCATAGATCAAAGGAAGACAAAGAGTTTATATACCTGAACCATGTCACCCAGAGTCTCCAACCATTGATTACGATAGTCACGTGGACCCCAATCAAGTAGTCTGCATCTACCAACATGGTTAAGACTAGAAGTTAGTGACTTCAAGCACTGATGCCAAATTTTAGTTTGGCCGCCCCTGACTTTCTTCCAATCATTTCCAACACTAGTCAGCATTGTGCGTCGTGGTAATCGGTCTTCAGGCATACATAACACATAATCTAACCATCCCAGTTGATATAGATTCACAACCTCATCAGCTGATTTACCATCATTCCCTAATACCCTGCATCTAACCTCACTATTGCTTACCCGATGATCTAAGCAGATGCGAGCAATATTTCTAAGGCATCTGTGGTCAGTGGATGGATGAAAACTCTATCATCATAACATGAGTACCGTAAGGCCAAATAATACACACTATTATTATTGTTAATGGTTTTATTCTATATTATATTTTGGTACAATACAGAATTCTGAGCACGACGTATTTCAACAAGTTTGTTTTACAAAAAAAAAAAAAAAAAGAAAGTAAAAAGGTGAAGATAAAGATCTGAAACTGTACAGCTTTTCAATTAGAGACGTGTTTAAAAAAACATGTTATTGAATAGGTTAACTCTAACCACCGATTCGTCACGCAGTATATTTGCTAGATATAGTATTATAGAACTTTTATACTTTTGCTCGCGTGCATGCATTATAATGTAATAACGTCTCGTTCTACCACAAGATGTACAAGGAGAAAGATATGAGTGAAGTGGACGGGTAGTATCTGATAAGATAACATCTGCCAGGAGTTTGTAAGACTTTAGATATATATCCATAACCATATTATTAATCGCCTTGAAAAATCCACCGCACACCTTGGTAACTACCTTCAGCACTCTCCGTAATACAACAAAGTCTTTTCTCAAAAGCCACGTGAAAGAATAATAGGTATTATACAGGAATCGACAAATTGTAAGAGTAAATGTCGATTAATCTCAAAAGCATGCAGCCTCTTTGCGTAGTAAGTCAAATGGAAAACTTTCTGTGTTAAAAGTAAAACATGAGAGGACCAAAAGAGATCAGTGGAAAATGTAACATCAAGATAATTGACTTTCTACACTGTGTTTATCAAAGAGTCTCTAATGGCACAAGTATTATAGGATCCAAAAATGGTGTTTAGATGCAGTTCATGCAGTCTCATGCTAAAGTTAACAGCTCGACGTTTAGATGGGTTAAGTATGAGACCATTAACAACAGACCACCATTCAATACGAGACAAAAGCTCACTTCTAAGGGATGTAAAGAGATAGAAATCGGCATACATACCGTAAGATTATCTTCATATTTCACAAAAGTGTTTTCTATGAAGATGGCAGATCATGCAGAAAAAAGAGAAAAGAATAGGTGGAAGAACGGCTCCTTGTGGTACAATTCAATTAGTTCCTTATTGTCTGACAGTCCGGTCGGTCGATCTGAACAGCATGATGTTGAACAAGCTAGTCAACTACGAGTGTCCTATTCTAAAAAATGGAATTCATTTGCTTAGGTTCTCAAAAGTCATGAGACTTTTTGATGTAAATCCAAGCTGTTTCTAAAGACCAAAACATACACGTCTTATCCTACTACTTTTAATATAAACAGTCCTTTAATGTTATTTTATTTTTATAAAATCTCAAATCTTCTATTTAATTTATGCTTACATTTCTAAAATGATGGTTAATATTGAGTCAACACACTTCTGTTCTACCTTATTCTGTAGTTCTCTTTCACTTAAGATCAAAGTTTATAAGTAAATTGAATTCTTTATTCTAAAGTAAATAAAGATAGCCCTTTCGTTCAATGCTGTATCACGGTACACCCCTTCGTGCTGTTGCTTGAAAGGATTAACTTACTTACTTTCGCCTGTTACTCCCGATGGAGCATAGGCAGCCGACCAGCATTCTCCAGCTCACTCTATCCTGGGCCTTCCTTTCTATTTCTATTCAATTGTTATAAATTCTTATCATGTCTGTTTCTATTTCTCGGCATAATGTGTTCTTTGGTCTTTATCTTCTCCTTTGACCTTAAGGATTCCATATAAGAGATTGTTTTGTGAAATAGTTGGGTGCTTTTCTTCAATGTGTGTCTTATCCACTTTCAGCACTGCTTCCTGATTTCTTCCTCCACTGGAATCTGGTTTGTTCTCTCCCATAGTAGGTTGTAGCTGATAGCCAATGGACCCGAATTACTTTGCGTAGACAACTGTTAGTAAACACATATATCTTCTGGATGATGGCTTTCGTAATTCTGCAGGTTTCCACCTCATACAGTAGAACTGTCTTGACATCTGTACTGAAAAGTCTGACCTTGGTGTTGATTAACAATTGTTTTGAGTTCCAGATGTTCTTCAGTTGTAAATTTGTTGCTCTTGCTTTGCTGATCTGCGCCTTCGTATCTGCATCAGATCCACCGTCTTCATCAATTATGCTGCCCAAATATGTAAAGAATTTTACATCTTTCAGATCTTCTCCGTCAAATGTGAGTCGATTGATCCATGCTGTGTTGTATCGGAAAATCTTGCTTTTCTCTTTTTGTATGTTGAGACCTACTGCTTCTGACGTTGCTGCTACACTGATCATCTTCTCCTGCATTTGTTGTTGCAAGCCCTCACTTGGCATTGATTTAGCTTTTGGTTAAAATTCTATTTTAATGTCGTAGTTGATATTCTTACAATTCAACCTATTAAGTACTCTGCTAACTACCAGTATATTTGCCATGCACATCAATGCTCCAGTGTACTTCACTTCTGCTGACTTGATATGAAATGTTGTCATTGTTAGCCGTTATTTATGTTAACGAGTATATAGATGTTTGAATTCCGTATAAAATCTGGGTTTTTAAATCTACATTATTTGTTTTGTGCTCGTTTATCTTGGTTATAACGTGTGAATAAGTCTCCTTGCTTGAATTATTTTAAAAAAATAATATACTACTTTAGTGAAAAACAAGTAGTACAATTTTGTACACGAAATTTTACGAAATATGTTTTTCAACTTTTCTTTTACGAAATAGGGCAATTCACATTATAACGACAAAATAAGTCATGATGATGAAAAATTAGTGAACTCCAATACAGAAGTTAAGGAATTGAGTGTCATAAGAAATAATGATGCCGAATCGATTACTGAAAATAGTATTAAACCTGTGCATAATTTCACTAGTATGGATGAACTGAAAAAAGAGTATGAAAAGCAAGAATTACTAATTGCAGGTTATCAACGTGAAAATGAAAAATTGTATGCATCTATTAAAAAGTTACGAAAAGTTAGTTTGTTTTTTTTTCTGTCTAAAATATGTGGTCTATTCTCGTATTCTTTAACCTGAAAATTTATTAGGGTTTCCAGGTTTTCGATGGTGATCTAAAATCAATCGGTTGCATAACCTCAATCAAAAACCTAATAATCTCCATAACTCCATATTGATAATTACCATGTGTTTTTACTGGTGATCAGCTTCGTGAGAAAGTTCCCAGAGTTCTAGTGAGAAGCTGTGATCAGTGGAATTAAACGCTGTCAAATGGAGACAGGTACCTACGTCAATACAACGGAAGATGGTCGCGCAATTTCGTGGATTAGTTAAAGTTCCACATTAACACCTTTGGATGCCGGCCGGCTTAGTAGTCTAAAGGTTAAGTATTCGCGCACGAGAATGTTAGTTCCTGGGTTCGAATCTCCCGAGACGTGGTAGTGGATGCGCACTGCTGAGGAATCCCACATACTGGGACGAAATGGCCGTCCATTGCTCCCAAGTTTTCCATGATGGTCTAGCTTCAATTGACTCATGATCTCAACTATTGAAATTACTACAATCTTCACAAAACCCCTTCTTATACATTTCATATTAGTTTGTTTCTTATCCCTTCATTTAAATCTAGGATAACCCAACTGAAACCGAAGATTCACAGACAGCAAAACGTTTGACTACTGAAAATCTTTCTTTAAGAGTTGAAGTTGAACAATTAAATAAAGAATTGAAACTACGTAGTCAACAAATATGTATCATGTTATCTAAAAATTCAAGATTGAATCAAGGTATGTTTAACACACAGTAGTAGTTACTTTATGATTTATGGAAAAAACAAATTGAATGTTCATGTCCTGTTTTCTTTTTTTCATTTATGTACACTTCAAAGTTCAGTTATGCTTATAGTCAATGAAAAGATTGATTACCAGAGTGTAACCGAAATTATATGATTTCAATTCAGCAGAAATGCTCATATTTCAGAAGAAATATACTTCTTCCGTAAATAATTCTATGTTGTATTGACTCCTTTTTCTCTATAGGTAATCAAATCTGTTAAATACCATTGTGATTAGAGTAAAGATACAATTTATTTGTTAAAACATAATTGAACCTACTTTGGTTTGTATATACGAGTAATACCAATAATTTCTAATGTACAAAACATGTAGCCTAAAGTTGAGTACAATAATTTACATTCAATTAGTGACTTAGATTGCACTGATGATGCGTTGAAAAATGAACAGAATAAGTGCTAACAAATACCTAATGAAAAATGATAGGCTTTTCAGGTTTACTAACAATTTTGTTAATCCAAAATAACTATCCTATTTTCCAATAAATGACTATATATACCTGTTACCTTTCGTAGAGGAGCATGGGCTGCCCATCAGCACTCTCCATCCAACCCTGTCCTGGATAATCCTTTCCACTTCCTATTTACCCTTCTCAAATCTGCTTCTAATTCTCAGCACAATGTGTTCTTTTAGTCAGTCGGTCAGTTAGTCATCAACAACGTAGAACTTCGTACGTACGTACATCAGATCGAGTTGCCATACCACACTACATTAGCACAGAGATACAATTGTCGATTCAAATCCCGTAGTGGTAGAGGTAGTAAAAGTATAAGCAATAATCAGAAACACGGTTTGAAGATGTTATTCAAAGAATATAATCTAGTGAAATAAATATGGAAGGAGAAAAATGGGACATGAAGATTTCAGAAGACTAGAATTTGGGAGAACTCAAAGAGTGGATGCACCTGTGCCATTGCGAACGATTTTGAGCCATGTCATTCAAGGTCTCCAACCATCGGTTGCTATCATTTCGTGGATCCCAACCCGGTAGTCTACACCTACCAACATTGCTCAGTCCACTTGTCAGTGACTTCATGAATTTGTGCCATATTTTGGTCTGGCCGTTTCTAGCTTTCTTCCAACCTTCACCACACGTTGGGGCAGTCGGTGGTTGGGCACACGTAACACATGTCCCTGCCATCTCAACTGATGAATGTGTTCTTTGATGTCACTCTTTTCCGTTTCCTTTCAGGATTCCAGGTTGCCGCTTGTCTCGTGATACAGTTTGGTGATTTCCACGATGTATTTCTTATCCACCTTCGACGTAGATATTTCGTTAAGTCACAAGTATTCTAAGCAAAGATGATAGTGACTAGCATTGGAATTCAGGATGCACACATACACCAATAAAAGACTAATCCATAACCATCCTAAACATCAATAGAAAAATTTAAACAACTAATGAAGAAATGAATTAAATTTCTCCCCATTGCACACGCTAATATCTAAGTATATAACACGATAGCGTTTGAAGCGAAAGTTACTGACTTCACGTCCCAGAGTGAACACCAACTTTCGGATACAGACACACCAAACTGATGAATCTCAAATAGGATGAAACTCATGTTCTAAATTCCTACGTTTTGGCCCCCAAATGCTCTGGTACGGCCGAGAGTGGGAAGAGTCCGCCCCCTCCCTAGAAACGCTCTCACATAGCCACGCGTATACAGCCTCTGCCAGGGAAGTCCTAATCACTGTCTTCTCGTGGCGGAAGTGTCGTTTACGAAAATGAGAGGACGAAAAGCGAATGTCCGGCGCTTTAACCGGATCCCAAACCAATGGTGTACATGGGCTCCAGTATCCTGCGGGAACAAATGGCGTATGAACCAATCGTTGGTCACCGGCTACCATGGGACTGCATCTCCTTACGATGCTCCACTGCCTTGTGGGTCAGACAATCAGGTCGAAGGCTCGGGGTGTGGCCCCCTAAGAAAACCACCTGCTTCGGTTTGGGCACTTGGTCAGTATCACAGCCCTCACACAAATCAATTGAGATTCGTGTGGTGCATATGTATTTGGTGCCTCTTTGTACCAATATCTATGTTTTAAAATAAATAATAATTATCATCTCTGTATGAAAACTATGTATCAAATTTACTTCTATATCATAATAATTAAAATGAAATTTTATGAATATTTAATCATAAAACAGTAAATTGTGTATAGTGAGCATAGCAACAACAATAATATTATTGATCCTATCAAACATATATTTAATTTTTCGTCTTATAATATTTATGACAGAAAATCGAATAAATGAATTACAAGAACTGAATAAACAATTGGACAATGACAGAAATAAATTAACAAAAGAATTAAATGATACACGTTTAGAGTTGACAAACATTAATTTAAAAGTAAGTGAATATCCTATTTAATTCATACAGTTCTATTTGCTTGTGTGTGTGTGTGTGTGTATGGAGATATATGTAGATAAATATGAGTACTGACCATTTGAGATTAACTAGTTAACTATTGAAAATTAATGTATTTGAAGTAGATATTTGACATCACAATTGATTGATCATTGAGTGGCGATCAATATCATGCGTGTCTAGTCTTTATTAGTGAAGATCAAATGCTATCGATCATGTTGCAATGTAGCCACCGGTCTAAGTGACTTGACACTGCGAGCACTATTGTGAGATTAGATGGTGGTTGGAGGTAGTCAACAGGAAACCCTGGACCTGGGTTTCGTGCTACTTGGCACTCGTCAGCAAGGTGTACCTGTAATCTTAAGGGAACTGGTGCTCCCTGATGGATTCGATCCTGTGCCAACCAGCTTCACAGTCAGAGACGTTACCACTGAGTTATATTTGACATTAATCACTAGTACTTACTTACTTACTTACTTACGCCTGTTAACCCTCATCGAGGAGCATAAGTCACCCATCAGCACTCTCCATCCAACTTTATTCTGGGCAATCCTTTTCCAGTTGTTATCAATTGTTATTCATTTTTCTCATAACTGCTTCCAATTCTCGACACGGTGTATTGTTTGACCTTCTGCTTTTCCGTTTCTCTTCAAGATCCCAAGTTAGGGTTTGCCTTGTGATGTATTATTATTATTATTATTATTTGATCACATAGATATTGGTACAAGGAGGCACCAAATACATATGTGCCACAAAAATCTCATTGGGTTTGTGCAAGGGATGTAATATTGTTCGGGTGCCCAAATCGCAGCAGGTGCCTCGTGATGTAGTTTGATGATTTTTGTAATGCATGTCTTATCCACTTTTAATGCCTTTTCCTATCTATTACCAGCCGGCGAATGTAACTACTCAGTAAGCCTGGAATGAAGATTACTTCCAAGCTATTGTTCTGATATAATTATTAGTTGAGATAAGAGTTATATCGCCGTTGATATTCAAATTCAAATTTTGTTCAGTCTTTGTAGGTATTTGTGTAACTTTGTGTATCGCCTCGATGTAGTCATTTTATCGGTTTTTTCTAGGTTAGATGAATTGTGGCTGACAGTGAAATCCAGGACATCCCATGCAACCGTTGATGTTCACATTTGGATTCGAATCCGGAAGTGTTATCCATACTCCAGAGAGATAATCACCTGTTCAACAGATTTGAGTCCTAAAGTGAACATAAACAATGAGATGGTGATACATTCAACTGACGAGTCCCGGATCTAACGAAACTTGCACACTAGATTCTACTACTAATGAAAATGCATTTGTTTCTTAAGATTGATTTTGTTTAATCTGGATGACGACTCTTCAACCTTTTAATGATAGAACTAAGTTAACATGAATAATTGCTTACAAATAATACAGTTTATTAATTAAATTGTTGAATTCATGAACCAATTGAAGCTAGACCACCATGGAAAACCTGGAAGAAATGGACGTCCTTTTCGTCTTACTCTGAGACTCCTCAGCAGTGCACATCTACGATCCCGCCCATGGGATTCGAACCCAGTTTATTATGAAACTCCTTAAGGGTTTGAATGATCAAGATGTTTTGTACATTATTTAGACCATTTTTGTAATGTAACCTATTGCACAGTAAATGGTTAGATCGTAAAGATATCATTGCCATTCTACAAACGAATTGTAATAGTAAAGTTCAAAGCTCAGTTCATAAAAAGCTTAAGAATAGAAATCATACCACCAAAAAGTTTATTTCACTTCAGTACCCCAACAAATAAACATTCAGCAATGAGAAGGATAGTTCAACAATATCTTCCTAAAGTATATAAAATTATGAAGGTGATCTGCTTTCTTACAATGAGACTTTTTGAAAATCCTTAAGTTAAAATTATTCCTTAAACATAAACTAACAATATCTTTCTACTTAATACCTCAAATTAGATACACATATATACTTTTGAGATGGTGGAGAAGATTTATAACTCAAGTGGATGATTTTAATGGAGTTTTATTCTCTGAGCTGAATGGTTTGATCATGAAGCTTACATTATTCTTCTGAAAAACATCATCAGCACAAACATCAGATAAACTTCTATCTGAAGTTCATATTGATGATATTATCCAGAAGAACAATGAAAACTTCACGACCAAACCATCTAGCTCAAAAAATAAATCAAAACACACATATACATACTACTTTTAAATTCTTATAAGTAGATTGATATGTTCTTTTATTTATAGATGAATAATCATATCCATGAGAAAAATGATTTATTAGAAAAATATGAATCTTTTAAAGAAAAATCTCAAACAGATTATACAAATATGAAAGAAACATTTTTATCTCAAATAGAAAATCTTCAAAAGAAATTACGTTGGTACATTGAAAATCAATCAATAATTATTAAAGATTCAAAGAAATTACAAAATCAAGTAGGTTTAAAATAAATTTGTTTCTATGTGGGATCAAAAATAATTTGTATCATATATTGATTTTTAGATGAATAACGATCATATACTGAATAATGATTAGAATTGAAAAGTATTCTTTAATGAAAAATTATCTTCAATGAAGTTCCAGTGGATAAATGACGCATTATATTGATTATCGATGAAATTCAACAATATATCAAATGTGTAGGTGTCATCAATGAAATCAAATATAAATTGTTGGATGTCAATTGAGGAGTCTAAAGATAATTTGCCGGTCTTTATTTTGAGGTCCTGCGTACATGACACCGAGGAATTCTATATTTGGATAAAACAATTTCACAATTGTTCCTGATTTTTCTTATAATTGATCTTTTAGTCGGATTACCTCTTTTAATAGAATGTTAATCTTCCAGGTTTTCAATGGTGGTCTAGCTTCAATTGATTCATGATCTCAACAATTGAAATTACTATAATATCCACAAACACCACTTCTGATATTAATTAACATATGCTCACTGGTGACTGGCTTCAAGGGGTGTGTCTCTCATTTTTGTGGATTACTTGAAGTTAGACATTAACACCGTTAGATGCCGGCCGGCTCAGTGGTCTCAGACAGTCAGTAACAATGTGGAACTTTGTACATATGTACATCAATTTGAGTCGCCATGCCACACTACATTAGTACAGAGATACAATTGTCGATTCAAATCCCGTAGTGGTAGAGGCAGTAAGAGTATAAGCAGTAATCGGAAACATTAGGGTTTGAAGATGTTATTCATAGAGTATAATCTAGTGAAATAAATATGGAAGGAGAAAAATGGGACATGAAGATTTCAGAAGACTAGAATTTGGGAGAACTCAAAGAGTGGATGCACCTGTGCCATTGCAAACGATTTTGAGCCATGTCATTCAAGGTCTCCAACCATCGGTTGCTATCATCTCGCGGATTACAACTAGGTAGTCTACACCCACCAACATTGCTCAGTCCACTTGTCAGTGACTTAATGAATTTGTACCATGTTTTGGTCTGGCTACCTTTAGCTTTCTTCCAACCTACTCTTGCACCACGAAACATCGCATATCGGGGCATTCGGTGGTTGGTCTAGTGGTTAAGCGATCGCCTACGAGACTGACAGATCCTGGGTTCGAATCTCGCGTTTTTTGTTTGTTCAATAACATATCTATGAATTGATCATATTAGAATAAACAGCCCCATACTTTTATATCACCCCAATACTAAGATTAGTATAATTTCATTCTTTGAAAATTCCTTTCTATTTCTGTTATATACACTATTAAATATATTCAATCTTCTGTGAATACAATAGTGATTTCAGAATTTAAATGAAATGAATTGATTTAGATCGGATTAGATTCACAAAGCAACAAAATACACTGAAGTATACATGAAAATGACAATGTAAATGCAAAATATCGTTTCCGGTTTGGCAATTGGTCAAAAGAATGCCTAATAAATACACATGGTAACTTGAAAAAACCAACAAAAGATAAGATTAACAGCTACAACAAATTGGAAACCAAGTGTTATAGCACAAAATATGACAATAAAGTTTTTCAGTAGTAGTCTAACTAGAATCAGTTCATTTAATAAAGTATTAAATCCGAATCTCTTTATGAAACTCCTGTATAAATTATAATCGTATGTTCGCCATTGACTAATCTCAGGATTTATCTCCTGAAGTTCTATTAAGAAGCTGTAAACATTGAAGTTCAATCATGTCAAATGTGAGGCATTTACTTGTCAACAACACTGGAAGATGATAATGCAATATTGAGAATTCATTGAAGTTGCATATGTGTACCATTGAATGCTAATTGAGTGCTCTTCGCGAGACTTGAAGTTCTAGGTTTAGAGTCGTAGATCTGTACAGCTGATGGATCTCATACTAGCGAAAACCATTTGTCCAGTACTTTGCGGCTATCACTGGTTGTCAGTATATATTTTTTCAGTCATAAAACGTACACTTAAGACTATTTGTATATTCGAGCCATATTGGTTGGTAAAGCTTTTTCTGGGGGAGATTATGTAGGCCCTTCTGGAATGAATTCCATCTCTTCAAGGCTCATAAACACATTGAGTGGATGTGATTTTGCGGGGAATCGTCGCCCTACAGGTGTTTGCCGGTATCTTAGTATCGTAGTAAAAGCAAGCGAAGGATTTTTTGGTTGTTACTCACCCTGGATAAGTATAGTCTACATGCATACTAGTTATCACCAGAACTTTCACGCTAGTGTTCCTTGGTACGTTACATGCACTCTGGTAATACACAGGATTTATCCCATGCATCCCATAGCATACATATAGGTATATTCACAAACATAAGAGAGTAGATGATTATTACTCAACAGAAAACGTATTCTCTACGTCATACTGTCTCTTACACATTGCATGCATATGATTTAGCTCATTTCTACCGCCGCAGTACTTCCTGACACATATAAACCTAAGTGTACTCTCAGGGGAGGTTGTTGGTTGCCTTTCTCTAGTATTTGCTACCATACCTTTTTATTACGTCTTCAACCTGGTATACAATGCCTCTGATTTTATTAGATATAGGGCAGACAATATTTCAGTTAACGTTTCTTTTATACAACAACACACGTACACTCTTTATATATACCTACACACATGAGCTATATAGGCTTCAGGACTCCTGCAATTCGTATACAAAAGCATACATATCAGATGGCTTGGTGCTGTTGAGTTGGCCTCGAATTGGAACCCGAGTTGATTAAAGATAAAACAAAGTAGGTAATCCGTCCGATCTCCGTCGACTGGCTTGGTTGGTCAGCAAGGTTGCCCCAACTGTCCAGCAGCTCCATGAGGACGCCTCAGGTCAGAGTTCGCTACTTTTAATTAAGCGTTATTTAAATATTGCGATAAATTCAATCAATATGAAGAGGTTAAACTCTGGTTTAAATGTTGTAGCCATTTAAGTAATGGTTTGAGGTCAAACAAGATTTAGTGAATAATCTTGACTTGCTCTACTTCTCAATAATTATCTCTTGCTTTTTTTTTCGGGTATAGGCTAGAGAACTGGAAAAATTGCAAGCGGAATTATCATATTTTAAAAGTAAACAGGTTTCTGGTCCCAAGTCAAATGAATCAAAACAGCCATATAACAGTAAGGTAGGTCAGATTGATTTTTTCTAACTATGAATTTAAAGTACAACTTACCAAAGTGACTTCCTTACATAGACTTTGAATAAAATAGGATAGAATGAATCGTATTATCATAAATGATATGATATAGCACATAGTCTTACAATTTGAAAGGAATCTGTCTTTCAGAAAAATTCTGTGTGTGGACACTCAATTTTCCTCAGAGCAAAATGAAAAAATATCCAAGTTCCTTCAAATGAATCGAATGTTTGACTTTAATACTGAGAAAATGATAAACAATCATTTGTGCTTGGAATTTAGTTTTTTTTTTTTTAGTTTTTGGGTTGTCCAACATAAGTCAATTTGTAATGTGAACTCCGAATATAAAAATTTCTACAGCATCCGATAATAAATAAGGAAAATTATCTCTTTCCTCCACATAGTTCCTTTTATCATTTTGAAAAGAGCAAGAACAAAGATTCTAGCAGAATAGTATGAATTCACTTTATTTCGTTGGGTCTCGTCAGCTGCTTACAACCTGTGATATTTAAAATTATAAGACTCTAAATAGTGCAATTACTAAATATCTCCTTGATACAAGACATCAAGTCGATACCTTGCAATCCTTCAAGATGATTAGTAAGTAGCCAAACTCCAGTTTTCTGAAGTTTGCTGAAGCCGTTGCTCTCAGGTTTTAAAAACTTGACTTAAGTGTTCAAATGGAGATGGTTATTAGTCTTCTCTTTCCTTGATGACAAATATTCCTTCGTTGCATCTTAACATTTTTTTTCTTTTTCTCTTTCTTTAAACTCTTCTGTTTATTACATCACTGAGTTTTATTTCAACTATTTTCCAAATTAATAATCTTGTTTTATCAACTGAGCTCTACTCATGTTATTCCTATCAGCGTTTACACATTATGTAATCACTTGTTTGTGGCCGTTTGAACCGTCGTCACAATCAATGTTGTAGAATGTTCTTTCCTATAAGGTATATATTGGTTGCCCCTTCCAGCAAAACAAGTTGGTGAAGCCTATTAAACTCTTTTGGAGAGAAACAGGCCACATGGAAGCACGGCACAACTATCTGGGCTAGAATAGCTGTTTTTGCAATCCGTTAGAGTTTGCCCTATGACAAGCAACTCTGTATGTTACATGCACCACTTTTGAAAATTTTTTGTCGTTTTTCAATCCAAATTTAATTGCTCTGTGTTCCTCCGTGTGTTTCGTAATCGGATCGTGGGTATCGGCAAGAGTGGATGATTAGACCGATCTCTACCACCTAGGTTACCGCTCATGTTAGTTCGTGAGTCATTCGTCCCACTATCCAGGAGGCACGACGCGGACGTGTGAGTCGGATTTTGCCTCCTATTCAGTCTATTAATTTTATTTACACTCTTGCTATACTATACTAATGTGTCTTCAATATAACTTCCAACTAAACCCTAACGTGTAATTAATTTAGACCCATTATGTAATTATAATTTTAAATATCATAGATTGTAAGCATCTGACGAGAACCTATGAAATAAAATGAATTCATTCTATTCTGCCGGAATCTTTGTTCTAACTCTTTTCATAATTATCACTTTATTCCCAGTTTGAAGTAGAAGAAAATGAATGTCTTATACAATGTTATCAATACTCTATTTTCAGTCTCCTTTTTTTAAAGTTTGTACCACGAACTGATCTTAGCTAGATAATCACTGAGAACTAGGAAGTATTAGATGGTTATTTTGTCTTAATATTGGATAGCAGTACGGATTCACGACTTCATCGGGGATTAAATCCAACTTTTTCTTTTGATCAACCCCAGGCTCAATAAATCAGTAATCATCTTAATTATGAAGTAATCTAAATCAGTAATCACACATAGTTAATATAATTGTATAGTATTACGTTATCTTTGAACAAGCATATGAACTGATTGATTTTATATCTCAGTATACCAGATAATCATAATCTTCGTAAGATCATTCATTTTATGTAATGTGTTTCTCAATTTAATAAGTAGATGAGTTGAAACTTTATTGAATAGTGTCATAGAACGAAATGTAAAATATTAAGATGGAGTTTTTTTTTCTCTGGGCTGGATGGTTTAGTCGTGGAGCTTTCATCGTTCTTCTGAACGACATTATCAGCACAAACTTCAGTTAGAAGTGAAGTGTTCTAATTTATCCAAATATGGTTCAAAACTTGTCCTGTAGACCTCGATGTTGATTGGTTCTTGTTGAGATTAAACTTGTCATTGTTTACTTTATTGTTTTGATTGCATCTCCCGTTGGTTTGATTTTTGTTCCTATGTTTGTGCATAGTTTTCATGATTGGTTAATAAATTGGATCGATTTCAATGTGTTTGTTGACTGCCGATTGATCTGAGTGCTAAGCTTCTAAGAATTCTCTGGTGTTTTTGAAATTTTCTCTATCCAAGATTTCTACATTTTTCCAGTCAAATAAGCGTCCTCAGTTGTTCACGTGCATTGATATAATTGAGGAAATGTTATGACGTTTAACTGCTAATTGATGCTCATGCATTCGAAGATGAAAGGGGCGTCCACTTTGTCCGATGTAGTGCTTTTCGCAGCTGTATTGTATTGTAATTAGTCATTCACATAAAAACATTGTAGTAGTATTGTAATGAACAAGAACACCAATGAAGACAATCGAATGTATTTATGCACGTAATTACAAAGCATGTCAATGAAATCTGAGAACCATATATTAAATCGTTAATTTGCAAAATATCAATCCATCATATCAAACTTGACTGTTCCTGTTGCGAACATCAATCTATTGTCTCCGATTTAATTGTTCATGCGTTTTCATATCAATTGCGTTTCCTCCCCATTCTTTCCTCATCGACCTTCTACTGAAATACATTCAATGCCTGACCACCGTCATATACTACTTGTGTGGATATAAGTAACCCACACCACAGTATTATTAGCAGTCTATTGCCTTGATAAATATTACCGTTTGAAATATATAGTTCTTCCTACATCTAACGGATCAATTAGATTCATTTGTATCATAATAATGTTAATATGTTACAATGAATGAATTAATCAATTATTTATTATCTCAACCACATCAAAGTGTTCTATTATCTATCCATCCCCTCTTTTCAATTAGTTACTATAATTGTTTCAATCCCTGATACTAGTTCGATCAATATTGTTTATTCAAAGTTTAAATTGATAATATAACAAGAAAAACGTGATATTGTTCCGTTTCTTTTTTTCTTTCTGACAATAAACCAAATTCATTGAATATTGAATTTTCTTTCTCTCTTTGTTTATATTTGTGAACAAATATATTTTTGTTTCTCTATTTCTTATTTTCTATTCTCTGGTTGTTTTTTTTTTCTCTTTTTATTTTCAATAAGAACGATTTATCTATTGACTAGTAACTGAGATGAGACTATAATTTATGGATAACTTTTGAGTAACACTCAACTGATCTTGAGTGGGTCCACTTAATAACTAAGACTAAATGAAGATGATAGACCTGTATGAGGAATTAGAATTACGATTTACAGTTGATTGTAATGGCTAGCAATTAGATTTAGGGTTTTCATCATGAACTGACCTCAGCTATAATGCCAAAATGGTATTGTACCAAATAGATGAATGAATTTTGAGTCATAATCTAAGATCTGTTACCTTTTACCTGATTAGTGCGTCCATAAATTATAGTCTCTCCGTAACTGTTTTTTTTTTCATTTAAATATGAAGACATCACTATCAAACCTCATGCTAAGAACTCGTTAAATTTATTTGAAATTTGGTTTGTTTCTTTTTATTGAGTAGCGTAGTAAATGAGAACACAAGTGGATGTATTGGAATGAGGAATTACAGTATCTCTTAGTGAAATCTGAGAACCATACAGTAAATACTTTATTTGCAAAATATCAATCATTCTCTGTTCTCGTTCTCTTTTATTCAATCTTCTTGATCTTCTAAAGCCAGGGATTTCACTTTCGATTGGTAGTACATAATACTTATATCTGTCTAGATCAGTAGCACACACCATAGTAGGAAAATAACACATGTCTGTCTGTGAATAACTGTAGAAATTTTTATACTCTTAGCATAATTCAATTTGAATTCATGCATTTATTGGAAACCTACGTACATCTGTTACTTCTCATGGAAAAGCATAGGTCCCCCACCTGCATTATCTATCGAACTCTGTCCTGAACAATGCTTTCCAGTTGCTATTCATCCTTTTCATGTCTGCTTCTAATTCCCGACATAATGTGTTCTTTGATCTTCCTCTTTTCCGTTTTTCTTTAGGCATCTAAGTTAGCGCTTACCTCATGATGCAATTAGACGATATATGAAATGTATGTCTTATCTACGTCAAGAGTCGTTTATGAGAAAAGTGATTATAATTTGATCGTGAAAGATTTAAGTGGTCATAATCATCTAATTAGTCAATATGTGCATCGTATAAAGATGAGTTTTAGACATTTTAAAATTAATTGTGATGAATTTTCGTCTACTGTTCGCTAATATGAAAGCAGTTATTGTAAAAAATAGTTTTCTGGAAAAAAAACAACAGTAAAACAGTGATGTGTTGTATGCTACTTATGTCAGTATACCTAAGTAGTATATAACACCAGTCTGTAGTGGAATGCATGTCAGCAGATGGTTAAGAAAATCGAGTTGGAGAAAACAAAAAAGAGAACCGAAAGGAATTGAGTATTGAAAGAATCATAAAGACTGTGTAGGACAATTGATGGAAGATTCGCAAATAAAGTATTTTAATGTATGGTTCTTATATCTTACGAAGGTATTCTATAATTTCGTATTAAATAATAAATTGGTTGTCCTCATCTAGGGTGTTGTTCACTACAATGTTACATAGTTATCCTATTGACATTTCCTACAGGTTATTCTGTCTGTAAACCGTAAAAACACTAATAAATAAATTTGTTTAGGGGTTGTGTAGATTGTTAAGTTTTTGATTGAGATCATGAACCGATTGATGTTAGACCACCATTTCTTCCAGGTTTTCAATGTGGGTCTAACATCAATCGGTTCATGATCTCAATCAGAAAAAAATAAATTTGTCCATAAAATAATCATAGAAAATGTGTCATCTCAAGGTTGTCCAGCAAATTTGCCTGAACTTCTTCATGGTAACAACCAAAATCATCAACTGTGGTTGTTTCATACCTATCTTGTACTTTTATCCAGTTAACTCACATATAGAGATTTAGAAATTGTTTACTGAATTCGTTCAAATGATTGTTTTCAATTCTTATAAGCAGTACAATGTTTATCTATGAAGTTTGAATTGTATATCCTTAAGATATAAATATATACATATAATAAGGTGAGGCTATAATTTAAGGAAGAACCAATCAGATATAAGATAACATGTCTTGGATTTTGGCGCGAAATTCATTCATCCATTTAGTTAAATAGCGTCTTGACATTATAGCTGATAGCAGTTCGTGATGAAAACCTCGAATCTAATTCCTAACTTTGATAATCAACTGTTAATCGTAATTCTAATTCCTCACACAGGTTTATGACCCTCATTTAGTCGTAGTTAGTAGGTGGACACTCTCAAGGTTAATGTACCGTCGCTCAAAGGTTATCCATAGATTATGGTCTCATCATATGTTCTACCATGACTTTTGCCGTAACTCTGATTTATTGTTATGATAATCTAGGATTTTCTGTACACTTTTAATGTTCTCACTACTTAGATAAGATTTTCTTAATTATTTCACTTTCGATTGTTTCTGGGATAATTTCATTGAATTTCTCCTTTTACTAATGAATGTATTATAAGCAAAGATAGTTGGTGGCTAGCAGTGGAATCCAGGATGCGAGCTTCTTCCTATTTGGGACTTGTCAACTGGGTGTACCAGTATTCCAGAACTGATGTTCACCTCGGAACTCGAGCTCAGTACCATTCGCTTCAAATGCCATCGCGTTATCCACTTAGCTACTGAGTCATGATAGCCACTTGCTTATGCAATGGGGTGAAGTTTAAATTCATTTGATATTGTTTCCTTGAATCTTCCCATCGATGTTTAGGACTGAAATTGATCAGTCGCTTATTAGCACATGTGAATTTTGTGCACACTGCCTCGATATTACTTGTGAATTAAGGCAGTATCGAGGCAATCTGCTCAAAATACACTAAGCTGTTTTTGAAAAAGAAATTACATGTAGCAACTACCAATTTCGTAGAAATAATCGTTCTACGCAGTTAGTTATTCCAATTAAAAATATGATCTTATCTGTATGCTACGTTACTTATCGTTATTTTACAGTGTGATTGACATTCGTTGCATAATGTCACCAATACTTTTAGGATAAACTGAAGGTCTTCCAGGTGGCATCAATCACTTCCATATTACAAATGATATTGATGAGAACCGATAGGTTGGAAATCTAGACTGAGAGTTTCGTCTTTTAACTGTATTTACCGAAAAGTTAGTGAAACCATTGAAGTGACCTGATGTACCATTCGAAACTTTCCATATTGTAATAATAATTATAACCTGAACGTTTGATGCTATTTCCCAATTTCTTCCGTTCAACACTATTGAAATTGTAATCATTCTAAATAATGCTGCCTGTCATAATTTAAATTAGACAATTAAAAAAGGACGAATAAACAAATGGATTGGTAAATTAGTAGTTAATTTACTAATTATTCAATCGCTGAATGAGTGGTTTGAACTCCACTTCCCAGTACTTCAGTCACCATAATCTTGTAACTTCATTAGTACTCATACAAAACGTGTGCCTTAAAAAAGAGTAGACAAACTAACACTTGGAAAATGTATGATTGTTAAAATAACGGCTAACGTTACTATTAAAATGAAATTGAAATCTGCCTAACAACGGAGTAAAACAATACATATTAAGATAGATGACAAATAGCTCGAGTTATAAGCTGCCATGTGCTATGGACATGTTCAATGTAACGCTGTCTAACATGGTAAATGAAAAACACTGATATGCTAAAAGTTATGACTTCAAACGAAATCATGAACTGTCAGTATGTAGTTGTGTAGGACGTTGGATTTCATTGCAACCATGATCTGATCTAAGTTAGACAACCATTGAAAACACGTATGCACTGGATGACCGCTTCGATATAACTTAAAAATCTTCACTAGTCCACATCCACGACCACACAAGCAGTAATCGAGCCCGAAACCTATTTTGCTCACGGACGCCTAATTTCCAAATTTAATTAATCCACGAGATCGCTCGCTTAACTTCGTAGATTGATTGAAGCTGGACATTACCACTGTTAGATCTCACCTTAGTGGTCTATAAGTTAGGTGTCTGTGCACGTAATCGAAGATTTTGGGTTCGATTACTGCTTGTGTGGTCGTGGATGTTGACTGGTGAAAAGTTTCAGATTAGATCGAAGCATTTGTCCAGTGCATACGTTTTTTTCAATGGTTGTCTAATTTACATTGTACCAACCCACTAAATAAATGGAAAATCCCTGGACATGACACATATACTGAACAGTGAAAGCGGTAATGATGACTATAGTCATAATAAAAATTACACTGAGATGGTGGAGAAGATTTGTGGCTCAGGTGGATAATTTTGATGAAGTTTTATTCTCTGTGCTGAATGGTTTGGTCGTGGAGCTTTCATCGTTCTTCAGAACAATGAGAGGTTTAAGGTCAACAAGAACCAATCAACATCGAGGTCTACAAGACAAGCTGTGAACCATATGTGAAGAAATTCGAAAACTTCACTTTTACTTGAAGTTTGTGCTGATGATGTTCAGAAGGACGATGAAAGTTTCACGACCAAACCATCCAGCTCAAAGAACATCCGCTTGATAAAATCAGTCACTATACATTTACTTGTTATTTAAATGTTACCCTTTTTTCTCGTTATTCCTTATTTTATTTTAAATAATTAAAGGATTTATCAAATGAAAGTGAACAAGCATTTCTTCTTGAAAGGATTAAATTTCTTGAATCAGAATTAGATAGAGCTCATGAAAATGAGAAACGAGCTATTCGTGCACTTCAGCAACAATATGAAAGAGTTAAATTACAGGTAATTGATTCATTAGTGTTATTCACCGTTTTTTTTCTCGTTTTATTAAAATGTGACGTTCAATCAATGTTCAAGAGTTAATGGTATTAAATGGTTCAAGGTCGATGGCAGGAAGCATTAACTCACCTAAGTTTCGTACTACATGGAACTCATCAACAAAACGTACTTGGAATTTCGAGGAAATTGATAGTTTCAGTGGGATACGGATCAAAGTTACTGAGTTTTACCGTTCGAATCGCTATCGCTGTCCTGTTTAGGTGTGCGTCGGTCACTTATATGACTGAGATATTAACAATGATTTATCACTGAGTAATGGTCAATAAATACTATGTTTTTTTAGTCCCCAGTGCTTATTGAGCTCTATCGATCGAATTCACCTGTCAAATTGGAAAAAAATATCACTTGTTTCTGATTCACGAACACTACTATTATAAACTATCCCTATCATGTAATAGTCCAGATCATCAACTAAATATTAGAAGTTAGGGGTGAATATCAAATAAACAAGATAAGCTTATTAAGTTGATTATTACACAACCATCTGCTTAGTTTCTAATAAACCATACCCATTTACAATATTAGTTTGGACAATGAAACAAATATGAATAATATGTCTCATATTTCAGCTTTTGTTTGGATAATCAAATACTTTTATACTGATAGAGATTTAGTTGAGTCAAGGAAAAACAAGGGAACTTTTAAACATTTTAACTACTTTAGAACTAAATTATATGATTATACCAATTACGAAAACACATCTACAAGTCAAAGGAACAAGTCATCTAACACTAAAACATACTAAGTTACTTAGAATTAGGCTAGATTGCTCATCACTGAAAACTAAACGAGTACAAATCTCACTGCTTTAAAAGATAATTCTGTCAATGCGATCAGTGGATTACTCAGTTTTCCATTGAAATCACGAACAGGTCTAAGTTAAAGAGCTATCGGGAGCCAGCTGTTTCGTTCTAGCATGAGATTCCTCAGCAGTGCGCATCCATGGACACGGAAGCAAGAATTGAGCCTAAGGCCTTCCATCTCGCTCACAAACGTTTATCTCTAAACCTCTTAGCTGAGATTCAGTAGTCTCCAAGTCTTATATTAATCAATTTAACTAGTAATGATAATCGGGGGCACATCTCATCTAACTAAATTCTTCACATGATCTTTTTCCTTTTCTGACTGTCTGCCACTACTTTTGGTTCGCTAATTTAATGTGTACTTTAAGGTCACACCCTCGTTACTACGTATACTGAGTTATAGTATTTCAAGATGCTCTATTTGAATATCAGGTTTTTCCCACACTATATATTTATCTGTATTGGCGGCGAATTTTTGAGTTGTTTCCCAGCTGCTTTTATCGAATCCCCAATAAACCCGTTCCTATTAGATTAGTTTAATCATTCTTCAATTCAAAAAAGTGTAAAATGTCTAAGGTCATCAGGTAACTCTAAAACGTAATCGTTTTTATCAAGCATTATCATAATCATAAACCGATAAGTTCAGAGGTAAAGTGACTGAATATGACACTTGATTGTATAGCTTCAAATATCACAGTGAATAAACGTATTTTTATGAATTCATTTAGAGCTTTTTGATCACAGTTAGTCAACACAGAATCTAGATTCATAGTATTCGGCCTAATCACCTAAGATCACTGTTTATACGTAACTTATACTTTAGGAAAAAAAGGAAAAGCATAATGAACTGTCACCATTAAGATAAATTCCTGTACTGGAATTTTTGACACTAATTAAGTACAAGCATTAATTATTTAAAATGATATAGATGTAACGAAACTCAAACCTACAAATGAAAAGTTTTAAGACGTGAGCTTTAACTACAATTCTACTCTTTGTACACTTCATACACATAATATCATCATTGAAAATATACATACTACTCAATTATCAAAAGTAGTAGTAACAAATTATTTAATGAGAAGCAGTGACCAAAGCAGTTCAACTGAATCTGTTGTGAGATAGTAACTCACTGATGACAATGGTGGTTGTGTCACTCAATTTCGTGAATTGGTTGAAGTTAGACATTACCACGGTTGGATGCCGGTTAAGCGCTCGCTCGCGAGACTGATAGGTTCTGGGTTCGAATCTCTTTTGTAGGGGATCGTGGATGCGCACTTTTGAGGAGTCCCATGATAGGACAAAACGGCCGTTCATTGCTTCCAGGTTTCCCATAGTGATCTAGTTTCAATTGACTCATGAACTCATCTACTGAAATTATTTTTTTCTCAAATCAGTGAAAGCATTTATTTTGTGACATAATAAAGCCTATGTTTCATCGAATTCGATTTGATTTTACTGAATACAGAATCAATCGTTAATTTTCATCACCAATAAATATTGGCATTTTTTTTAACCCGATCATTAGTTCAAGGAGAACTTACTTCTTCATTTTCAATCGGATCATTATTAAAACAAATATGTTTTTCAACAACAAACAAAATTAATTAATAGTTGAAATCATGAATCAATTGAAGCTAGACCACCATGGAAAACCTAGAAGCACTGGACGGCCGTTTCGTCCTAGTATGGGACTCCTCAGCAGTGCGCATCCACGACCCCGCCCCCCGCGGGATTCGAACCCAGGACCTAACAGTCTCGCGCCAGGCGCTTAACCAACTAGACCACTGAGCCGGCATCCAACGGTGTTAATGTCTAACTTCAACTAATCCACGAAGTTGCGCCACCGTCACCATTGTCTTCAGTGAGCTGATATCTCACAACAGACCTGGTTGAACTCCACTGGTCACGACTTCTCACTAGGACTCCAGGAGTATCTCTTGAAGTCAGTCACTAGTGAGCAGATGATTATTACTAGAATGGGTTTTGTGGAGAATTGGTAATTTCAATAGTTGAAATCATGAATCACGAATCCCGCGGGGTGCGGGATCGTGGATGCGCACTGCTGAGGAGTCCCATACTAGGACAAAACGGCCGTCCAGTGCTTCCAGGTTTTCCATGGTGGTCTAGCTTCAATTGATTCATGATTTCAACTATTGAAATTACCAATTCTCCACAAAACCCATTCTAGTAAAATTAATTAACATAAAAATATTTCCGTAAAATTTTTATAAAACAGAATACTGATTCCAGAATAGGAAATGCTGATGTTGGTTTTCATATTAAAATATTTAACAACAGATTGATATAATTGGGTATCATTCCCCCAAATGACCTGGTACGGCCGAGAGTGGGGAGAGTTAGTTCTCTCCCTCTCTCGAAATGCTCTTATATGGCCACGCCTATACAGCCTCTGTTACGGAAGTCCTACTGATTGCCTTCTTGTGGTTGGGACGGTTGTTCACGAAATTGAGAAGAAAAGCTAATGTCCGGAGATTTAATCAGGTTGGTGGATACAGAGCATCTACTTAGAGGCGTTGTAAAAACCTGATTTCAAACCAATCGTGCATATGGGCTCCAGTATCCTGAGGAACGAATGACTATTTAGATTTCAGAGGCTCAGTGGATGATGAGTAGCACAATTGAAGTAAAAGTTAATAGGTTCAAGTCTCACTATAAACATCAACACTAGGGTACAGGTATATCAGGTTTGAGAAGTCCAAATAAGACTCAACTCGAGTGCCAAATTCCATTAATACCCATATACTAAGTATAAATATTCTGTCTCTTCATAATTAAGGAAAAAGGCAAGAAAAAATCAACTTATTAAATGTCACACTTCACCTTACCAAATGGATCTTTATCTCTTCCAGTAAAGCCTTCTGAAGTACAAAGCTAAAACATAAAAAATTCGTTAAAAAAGGATATATGTGATTGGCATCGAGCAGTTGTCTCTTTGTCTCTGCGGACACTTATTCGAGTCAATAACACCCTTTCAGATCTTTTCACGATGTAGGGAACCGATAATTAGCAACAGCTCTTATTTTTAAGGAACATTTAGTCAACTAAAAATTTCCAAAGTATTTCAAGTTCTTATATTCTATCGAATTATGTTAAATATTTAGTTTTATAATGAAAAACTTTATCCATTAATTGAATAACTTTCTTAAAAAGTATGCAAATAATTCTTCTGAATTCAAGGCAGAGCATAAAGAGGAACTAGCGAATAGTAGACCAATAGGAATGTCTTTCCGGTTCAATGTTAATGATGTTGGTCGAGCGAGTAATTGACGAATTCATAGACAATAAATTATAGAGTAAAAAGTAAACACGAAATAGAACCAGTTATAATTAGGGTTCTGATTGATGACTTGGTCCGTGACATACTGGTTAACGGTCCCCAATACAACAAATTCATTTTGATTAAATATAACATTGATAAACTTTACACTATTTGAATGCCTGACAGGTATTAATAACATATTTGTTTTCTAGTCTTTAGAGCTGATTGAGTTCTGTTAGATAAATTGCAATTTAATATCAGAAGTCAACTGACTCATGATTTCAACTATTAAATTACTACAATCTCCACAAAACCCCTTCTGATATTAATCAGCATATGCCCACTAGTGACTGACTTCAATAGGTATATCCTGGAGTTCTACTGAGAAGCAGTGACTAGTGGAGTTTAACCGAGTCTGTTTTCAAATAGTAACTCAATGAAGACGATGATGGATGTGTCTCTCAATTTCGTGAATTGGTTGAAGTTAGACATTAACACCGTTGGATGCCGTCCGGCCTAGTGGTCTAGAGGATAAACGCGCGAAACTGATAGTTCCTGGGTTTGAATCTCTTTTGTGGGGATTGTGGATGAGCACTGCTGAGGAGTCCCACAATAGGACAAAACGACTGTCCAATGCTTCCAGGTTTTTCATAGTGGTCTAGCTTCAATCGACTCATGATCTCAACTATTGTAATCAAAATTCAATAACTATTCTTAATGACCCAATATTAATATAACTTGATCGGTGACAATAATTTCTTCTAACTAATTCATTATTACAAAAATATCAACTTGATAGAATGTGAAATGGACACTGAATAACGTTTAGGTAATATTTCTTCGTATGAAACTGTTTTATCCCGATATGAATGATGAATGATAAATTTTTGGATCCATTTATGGACCATTACTATGCGTATATTTTCTATCGTATAATTGTTAAATAACTAAATTATGTATATTCATATCCCTCTTATTATAAGCTTAATTATAAGATTTACCATTCTTGAGTTATACCCATTCTATCAACTAGACTCTCCCACATTCATAGCCACATTTGACTAAATGTTATTTTCTATTTCATGATGTAGTATGGTCTGTTTAGTTTGTATATAAACCCATTATGTTTGAAATACATGATTTATATCGAGAAGATTGAGATTGATGTTTTAGCCTTAACAGGTAGGGTTAAACAGGATGAAAGACCAATAAATACTTTAGACTGTTCGTACAAGTTTTATACGTCATTGGTCCGGTTGATAATTCACTGGCGGTATCATTAACGGTATACATTGATAAAGGATACAAATTTATAAGTTATAACAGAAACTATATAATGTAAGTTTAGTCCTGTAATAAGTGAAGCGATATTTTGATGTTGAATTCATATAGAACTTTTAACTTATATCATTAAATCATTAAATTCTAATAAATGCATTATTTATTCCTTATGTCTATTTTATAGTATGAAGATCGTATTGAATCATTAGAATCATATATTAACTTATATTGTATTCATAATCAAATTAATTCATCATTATTATCATCACAAAATAATAATATTTTAAAATTAAATCACTTAGATACTATTAAAAATAAACCAATAAAAAATTCATTGAAAATATTAAAACAAAAAAATAATTCTAATCAATCAATAATTCTTTTAAATTTATTAAATAATTTACGCGGTCAAATAACAAATTTAAAAAGACAATTAAAACAAAGACAACAAACTATTGAACAAATGAAACATTTTGCACAATTAAATAGTAACCATTTAAACAATAACAACAACAACAACAACAACAGGGATAATAATAATAATAATAAATTAAATATGACAATAAAAAATAAATTCAAATCATCAATACAAAAAAATAAACCATTTCATTATCCATATCAATATGAAATTCAATGTAGACAAATAAATATGATTAATGATAAAGTAAATTTAAAAAATGTAAGTTATTCTCTTTTTTTGTTTCTATGTAATTGTGTTATTGCTTATTGAAATGGTTAGTTGTTGGAATTTTTATTCTCTGAACTAGATAATTGAGTTTTGGAGCTTTCTGTTATGTTTGATGCGAGTACAAATTCACCTAGTTTACAAACGATACAAAGACTCTGTGACTATAGATCAATAAACTAACTATTCTGATGCACCCCCCCCCCCACAATTCCGCTAACTATAGAGAGAGAGAGAGAGAGAAGTCGAAGTTCGAAATGATGAAATATATTCCATAAGCAGCCAGAAGCACGAGAAATAACAACAGGCATAAATCAAATGTATATATACTGCATAAAATTGTACTTGATAAGCGTTACAAAATAGCATATTAAAAGGTACAACGAATTAATAGCGTCTAAGATTCTCCAATGTTGGAAATACGACATAAAGATGAAAATGAGCACTTTCAAAATTTTGAAATAAATTTATAAAAATAAGGTATTTATTAACTGAGTTTTGATGATCCAACATCTACAACACTTTGATAGTTCTTCTGAACGACATCAAAAGAAGAAGAAGAAGAACGATGAAGACTTCACGACTAGATCATCCAGATCAGAGAATAAAATTTCAACAAAATCATCTACCTGAGCTATAAATTTTCTCCATGGCAGTTGTTTTTTTTAATTAGTAGGTAATTCATAGCACTTACTTACTTACGCTTGTCACTCCGAATGGAGCACAGGTCGCCGACCAACATTCTCCAATCCAATCTGTCCTGGGTCTTCTTTTCTAGTTCTATTCAATTAATTAAAATAACCCATAGTATCATTGAATAAGAAAAAGAGAATTCAGTGAAAAAATGTTATTTTTTGACGAAATCATTTACTTAAGCTGAACATTCATATATATCGTTATGTGGAAAATGTATGTCTATATACGAATGTACAGCTTAAGTAAATGATTTCGTCGAAAAGAAAATTTTCTCCGCTGAATTCTCTTTTTGTTATTTTATTCATTTGTTCATTTTTCTCACGTCTGTCTACGTTTCTCGGCGTAATATGTTCTCTGGTCTTCCTCTCCTCTTTTGGCCTTGAGGATTCCGATTGAGGGCTTGCCCTGAGACGCAGTTGAGTACTTTCTTCAATGTGTGTCCTATCCACTTCCATCGCTTCTTGTTGATTTCTTCCTTCGCTGGGATCTGGTTTGTTCTCTCCCACAGTAGGTTGTTGCTAATAGTGTCTGGCCAATGGATCCGAAATATTTTGTGTAGACAACTTTTAATAAACACTTATATCATCTGGATGATGGCTTTCGTAGTTCTCCAAGTTCCCGCCCCATTAAGTAGAACTGTCTTAGCATTTGTATTGAAAATTCTGACTTTGGTGTTGATTGACAGACAGTTGTTTTGAATTCCAGATGTTCTCAGTTGTAGATATATTGCTCTTGCTTCTTAGCACTACTATGATAATATAAAATGAGTGTATACGTGTATACCTTTTACAAGAGAGAGTAACTCAAAACACTGATATAATATCAGTCACAAACATTCAATACTTAATATTTAAAATAAACTCATTCTCTGAAGGGAAATAGGTAGAAGTTATACTTTCAGATGTTCACAGTAATTCTATAATACCATTGATTGAGAGATTCTTTTAATGTCGTGGTATGGTTGAAGGTGGGGAGAGTCAGCTCTCCCTCTTGAAATACTCTCATATAGCCACTCGTATACAGCCACTGTCAGGGGAGTCCTCCTCATTGTCTTCTCGCGGTTGGGGCGGTTGTTCACGAAATTGAGAGGACCTTGTGGATTAGACCTTTAGGTCAAAGGCTCGAGGAGCGGCCCCCTAAGAAAACCACCTGCTTCCGTTTGGGAACCCAAGCAGTATTCCAGCCCTCAAGCAAATCGAATGATCAGTATGACACATATGTATTCGGTACCTCCTTGTACCAATATTTATTTATTTAAATAAATAAATCCTTTAATGCGAAACAGTATCTATGTATCTATATTGAGTATGATGTCAAGTTACTTTGATTAGTTGCCAAATTGTAACATGATCTATAGAATCAAATCAACACTAAACGATTAGACAAATATAAAATTCAACTATTAAAATTACTACAATCTTCACAAACCCCCCTTCTGATAATAATCCATCAAGACGATGGATGAAGGGTTGCGCAAGACCATGGGTGGATTGGAGGTAGACATTAACACCGTTCGATGCCGGCTCATTGGTTTGTAACAAGCATATTAAAAAAACGGAAAATTGTTTTCTACATTCAACTGAGTAATAAAATAAAAATTAAAGACCATCAAGGTAGGAACAAGGGTAAAAGTTCATGTTTACGATTTAAACATGTCTTTTTTATAAAATACTTTCATCACGTTCAAGTTTACAAGTATGACTTGTATATGAGATCACATGTCGTAAAATTGTATACAAATATAATTGGAATGATTGAAGTGTTTAATTGTTTATCAGTGTTGGATATTAATTAATTCCCATGCCTTTATCACGATCGAACATCGAGGTTAAAGATAGGGTACTAAGTAAATATGGAAATTCAATTGATGAGGTAGTGAGTCTTCATCGATTTAGTTGGTTAAGACATATGTAACTTATGTCCAACCACCGCCTACCTTGATGATCTCAATATTGTCTGGTTTAGTAGGAGTATGCTGGAAGAAAGCTAAGCGTGACCAAACAAAGATATGGCATCAGTCCATGAAATCATTGGCAATTGAACTAAGCCATGTAGGTAGATGTAAGCTACCCGGTTGTAATCTTTATGATTGTCGTGATCAATAATTAGAAACTTTAATGTCATGGCTAAGAATCATTTGTAATGAAGTAGATACATTCAATCATTGTCTCCCTTTAGAATCTAAGTCTTAAAATCGTATACCTTTTTTGTTTTTCTATATCTAATCTTTTCCTCTTCTACTGAAACTGTTATTACTCTGACTACACCGGGATTTGTCTTGAATTAATTTTACCTCGCCGTACTAATATAATATAATAACTGCAGCGGATATACCTGCATCAGTTTCTACACTACGTATGACAGACTAACTGGTTGGTATTCCTTTACCATGTACACCGGAAATAATTATTACATTATTCAACAAAAAAAACGATTGGTTGTCATCATTATTAGTTAGAATGTAGCAATTTGGTTAGAATATTCCATTTGCTTCTTTTATCAGTGATTCCTTATTTTTAAATATACAGTTTATGGAATAATTGTAATATTCGTGGTTTTAAATTCTCTTTTATATTAATTACTCTTTAAGAAAATAACCAGTTCAAAAGAGCGAAACAATGAAGATGTATCCATCAACGATAAAGAATCAATTAGTTTGAAAGAACATAATGCACTTAAGAACTTGTTACAGGTCAGTTTCTGTCGAATATATGTATAACCGCTTAATTTATTTAACATACTAGGAACATTTTAAGTACACGATAATCATACAGATAGTCTTCACCTACCAATACGCTCCAGACCAACAGTCAATAACTTAATAGACTGGTATTATGACTTCATATGACTACATCTATCTTTCTCCAAACCTATTGAGTTTGTTATAAATGACCATGAACTGGATACCTATAAACTTATTATATGGAGGCTAATGATATGAAAACGTTGCGTAGACCAAAATATTATAGAGTCAGGTATAAAAATGCGACTAAGTAGTTTAATATTGACTACTCTAATCGCTGAACTATTTAATCACTACTTAATAAAATGAATAGTGATATTGATTTTGTTTAGCTAATCAATTTAGAAGGATGTTGATTATCAATACAATGGACTTAAGTTCTGTTAGAAGTATGAGGGTGGTTATCACTACCCAGTTGACCACACCGTAGAAGGGTTCTTCTAGAGGTACCTGAAAAGAAAATTGGATTAGAGGTGGTCTTAGTGACCTGAGAGCGTGACCATAATGACTAAGGGACAACTGCTTGAGGTCGGTCACACACAACCTTTTAGTGGGGAATTTTCGTGTTAACTTCGTACTTGTTGAGACCTTACCACCGGAGACGGATATCCGTGGGATAAGGCGAGATTTGCATTTTTAGGGTCGACTTTTTATAACCCCACCCCTCCTTGTGGGAAGGCAGCATCGCTGTTATGCTGGTTGTCTGAAGAAAACATCTTGCTGCCGTCACACCTTTGTAAAGTTAGCAGTACGACTTCGCCCTCAGACCTTGAGTTTGCTGCTTTTAGTCTTACCGCTCTTCAACCGACCTATCTGGCATGATAGGACCTTGAGGAACGACTGTTCCAACTAGTAAAGCTCGATTGTTTCATCCCGATAGGCAAGCCCGACTATCACGTCAAGGTAGCAACGACGGTCCTTATACGCAATCTCTCTTTTGAATTAATTACTTCTATGTATCCAGTGTTCATCTTGTTGTGCTAATGAGATATGGCAAATTGGACCGATGCACATATGTGCCTTGTCCTATGCTGTAGCTGACTGACGGAGTTAATCAATTTAAGAGTCGAGTTTACACCAAATAACAGTTGAATGGCATTAAAATGAATAACTTTTTAATGCAAAATAAATATTTTATTCTTTTTTCATGTTCTTTTTCTAGAGTCATATAACTAAACTTGAAATTGAGCTGAAAAAATCACAGGAATCAGTGAAATCTGGAGTAACTTGTGATGCATCCACAAGCACTGATTTCATTGAAAGAACTGATGATTCATATATCAAACTTCTGGAGGTCTGATTATTAGTATTGTTATTGCCTATAATTAATGTCAGTTGATTGGTCATATTGTTTTAGAGAACCTCAACTATCTTGTCGTGTTGGCCTAGGTATTATCCAGTAAAGGTCTTGATCACGTGATATTCTCAAATCTACTACTTCGACTAATAATAATAGTAATCAGTAATAAGTAATAATAATAATACTGTTTTAGTCACTGTACATATCGTACATTCAAATTTTTTGCGAGTTAAATATTTTTATGATACATTTGCTGAATTCCCTATTGAATAAATAGAGGTTACCAGGCTGAGCATTTGTTTGAAAGAAGTTAACACTTTTGGTAAAAGTATACTTTAAGGACGAGGTAATAAGAACCAACAAATCGACTATTAAGTTCCTATTCGAACTAAAAATATCATGTGTAACGTACAATAAAAATATTTTTGTATACTGCTTAAAATCTTTAATACAGTAGCAAAACGTTTTCGCAGACAGAACAAAACTAACGATGTTAAAGCGTTAACTGATTAATTCTTTCTATGTAGACTGTAATATGACAGGCAACGTGACACTATCCCTAAATCCGTAACTCAGATGGAAACTTTAACTTGGTGGCATTTCGTTTTATGGATAAACTAACCAGATAGCGTCTTTCATATTTTTGAACGAAATTTATTCGTTTGTATGATTACAGAGCAGTTTTACAGGTATCATACTCCTAATCTTAACCCTAAATAATTCACCTCAATTAGAAATAGGGTGAGTACTCTTATAAAATAGGCTTGGGTTTTTATAAGGGATCGGTAATATGGATAGTTATTTTTCATTACAAATAGGTAACAATTGTGTAGGGGGGTGTTCAAAACACGTAAACCTCATAGTTGTTGTACCAATGGATATCTGTATTCAAGAAGCATATTGATAATAACTGGATTCAGTTTAGTTTTTACTAAATTGCTCTTCAGTGGTATACTCTACTTTAGGCACTTTTGATGTACACATGCATAGACAAAACCAGATAACTATTATACATGGTACTCAGAACGTTGTCCTGTGATTTCGTTTTGTCGGTTTAATAAGGTTAATTCTCCCATAAGTCGTAAGGATGATTTTAAAAGTATTAACGGAATATTTTGTTTCTAATTTCTGAAGAAAATCTGAAAGGAAAATGATCTTCCATCAGACAAGCTTCTTTTCATTACGGAATGGTATTTAATTTCAAAATAAAAAATTCGTCATTAATACTGAAAATTTCTGTAAATCTATCCCAAATTTAGTGGAGCCAGTCATTCAGTCAATCATGATCGATGTAGCTCCTGACATCCACGCGTGTTGGCCTATATATGAACATGATGAGCTTAAATTATCAAGATGAGTAACAAACGTACAAAAAAGATATGACATAAATTGACTTGACTAAGCTTTGATTCGAAAAGACATAATATAAAAGTACCTATGAATGAATACTAAGACTTAATATCTTGAATAAGATAGAGGGTAAATGCTTCTTCACTATTATGATCGATCTTGAAACATTTCATCTAAAATTTCTAATCACTGATCGTGTCAATGTCACAAATTCCAACAAGATTGTCTCTACTTATCAATATGGTTCAAACCAACGGACAGTTAGTTAACTCAATACTGATGTTTCAAGTAGATTACTGTTATCATAAACATTTTCACATAATACCTGTATAGTATTTAAAGTTTGTTCTCCCACCATTATTAAACGTCACATCATATTTCATGTCTTTTCTTATACTTATTGATCAAAAAATATACTTACTTACTTACTTACGCCTGTTACTCTTCGTGAAGGAGCATAGGCCGCTCACCAGCATTCTCCATCCAACCCTGTCCTGGGCAATCCTTTCAAGCTCTTTCCAGTTCTTATTCATCTTTTTCATATCTGCTTCTATTTCCCGACGTAATGTGTTCTTTGGCCTTCCTCTTTTCCGCTTCCCTTCAGGATTCCAAGTTAGCGCTTGTCTCGTAATGCAGTTTGATGATTTCCTCAATGTATGTCCTATCCATTTCCATCGTCTTTTCCTAATTTCCTCTTCAGCTGGAAGCTGGTTTGTTCTCTCCAACAGTAAGCTGTTGCTGATGGTATCCGGCGAATGGATGTTGATCAAAAAATATAACGAATTATATTCATGAATGAAAGATACGCTCTAGATATTATACATATTTAAACAGTTTACCAAATTATAAGAGTGTGGAATGGACCTAATCAGTTTCTTATTGGTTAATTGGCTTTTTAATAGTGTACATTATTATTATAAAATACTTTGACAAACCATTCAGTTAAATGATATTTCGTGACTTTTCATCAGTTGTAAACCACTTCAACCTTACAATTAGTTATATTATTTTAAAAAATGTATTATATATCTTAATCAATGAAGTTGAATTTGAACTGGCATGGAAGAATATAAACTGGAAGAGGATATAAAATATGTTATTGTCCAAAGCTCCGTCAAATATCATGTGATTAAGTCGCCAGTCAAAACACCGACTTGTACAACCTTGGCACTGTGCCAAACTAATGACGCGTTAACCAGTATAAGTAGCCTAGAGTCAATTATGAACGGTTATTGGTTTAGCCCTGTTCGTTTAAGTCCAGAATATAAATGTGAGCCTCCACTGTATGAAACATGTATTTCAGACATATTCAGTTTATATACAAACAAATCAGACCGTATTATACTATCAAATAAAAAATAATTATTATGCAAGACCAGACCAAAACTGACCATGAATGTGAATGACTGTAATTAATAAATTGGGAATCCAACGAAACTGTTCCAATGACACAACTGATGGGGAACTATTTCATCTTCGACAGACCCTCATCAAAAATGGTTATCCACCGAGATTCCTTGATAGCAACTTAGCACCCAGACTTCAGGACAAAGCATCGGTAGTAGAGAAGAAAACTCTATTTATTAATATGGAATTTAAGGGAAACACGGCTGCTGAAATCCTAAATAAACGGATTTCGAAATCGTTGAATAAAACATTTTACTCAGCTAAGCTCTGAATTGTTTTCTCTAGCCGACCTACAATTCTGGGAGGTGTTAAGGACAAACTTCCGCTTTGGACCATATCAATGTGTATATATATATATAAATTTACTTGCTTATGTGGGGCACGTTACATAGGCCGCACGAAGCGATCATTGTCCAGACGCATCTCGGAACATTACCTGGCCTGGCTCTTAAAAGGGGAACGTAAATCAATCACCAGTTCGATACAGGAGCACTTAATTAACTGCGGACACATAGCTCCAAAGGACTCTTCATTTAAGTTAGTCTATAGAGTCAAAGGAACTGGATCGAAGGGGGTTTGAATCGAAATTGGGAATTACTTAAGAATAGTAAATCTTATAATAGTAGTCAATAGATCAAATGGAAATTTATATATTAATATTTGATTTCAAAATATGTTGATTTTCTATTGTCTTGACTTTTTAATCAAACTTCGATAAATGTATCTCATAAGCCAGCCAGTATTTAACGATGTATTATTGATATTCCCGTTTATTTAAAAGACTTTCTTAAAATAAACAGTAATATGTAGGAATGCTATGGCCATAAATAGCTGCCAAGAGAGGTTGATCAATTTCAGTCCTGAATGTAAACAGTGAGAATTTTATAAATGCTATACTAGTTATTGAGTATCTAAAATCAGTCTCTTACTGAATAATTTGTTAGTGTTCGAAGAGATAAATAATGGTTTTGAGCTTCAAAATGAACATCTGCACTGATAACTAAGAATATTTAGCTAATGAACTTTATACAGAATGGAATAAGCTTCCTAAATTCCAGTGCTAGTCACCATACAAATATACTAAATCATAGTAACTTGATCAATGAATTTCGATCATGATCAAAGGACTATGCAAGCACGACATCGATCACTACTCATTTACAACTGATTGATCATCATCTCAGTTCTGTAAACCAGCCAAAATTCAAATAGCTCTGTAGTAGGGTCACACTCAGCTTTTAAAATTGAATTCGAATCTCACAGTAAGTATCAATTTTTTCAAGATTCCAAGTAATATCATGTTTATGAGTCCCAACTTACAAATGAAGTAGATTTTCCTATTGACTGCCTTTAACCAACTAACATATTAAAAACAAATTCTTATGTTATATTCATTACATTTTAGAGGCAAGTTAAAAATCAAATTGATACCATTGTGTCCAGACAAACAGAATTAAATCGACTGAAAAAATTAATGACCAATCGAAATAAACGTCATCATCATACTCATCTTCACCATCATTTGCACAACGGGGATAAAAGTGAATATACAGATGAAAACATTCCTTCTTCATTATTACACAACGAAGATGATGATAATATTGAGTAAGTTAAAACTAGGGATGTATATTCATCCCATTTTTATGTGTGTGTGTGTCCATGTGTATTATGTTGGTTTTCAAGGAAAACTTTGTTTTCTGGCTGTTGACAAAAAAATCACTCATTTTTATCATAGATTTCAAAAGTCGAAATCATGAGTCGATTGAAGCTAGATCACCATGGAAAACCTGGAAGAATCAGACGGCCGTTTCGTCCCACGATGGGACTCCTCAGCAGTGCGTATCCACGACCCCGCCTAGGGAGGACCTATCAGTCTCGCGCGCGAGCGTTCAACTTCTAGACCACATGTGGTGTGTGCTACTTATACCGACATAAGTAGTATATGACGATAGTCGTAAACAGAATGTCTGGCAGCAAAGAAACAAAAGGTTCGAACAGTAAAGAATGGAAACATAATCCAATTTGTATGAAAATGTAAGAACAATGAAGTCTAAGTCATTTTCAGACAATTGATGAACATTTTGCAAATTAAACATTTACTAAATGATTGTTAGATTTTATTAACAAGTTCTGTAATTTCGTGTCAAATACATTCGATTGTCTCCACTGGTATTCTATTAACTACACACTGAACCGTCATCCAACGGTGTTAATTCGTTTTCAACGAATTTTCTTTAAAACATTTTAGAATTTAAATCCAGTTGTTCAATAATCAATGCAATACACCCTTAAAATGTAATCGTTAGGTCAATCAATTTCACACTCCGATGTTATTCTATATGAAATTAGGTGTTCCAAAACACTAAACAGTATATCCTTAAATAATCTAATCTCTTTTCATGTTAACGGTTGAATACTTGTATAGATATTTTATACCTTGAAAAGAACTGATGTTTCACCAGGGATTTAAATAGATATTATCCACTGTATTCCAAACAAGTCAATGTTAACCGTTTTAATTATGGTACTTGAAACAACTTATTTTTTACAAGTTTATGTCATGTATTAAAATCAAACTTCATACAAGTTTAACGTGTATGTAGATATAAAGACTCAGTAGCTTGATAACTAACAATTTGCAGTAAAAGGTTGTGGAGATTATCAAGTTTTTGATTGACATCATAAACCGATTAATGTTAGACCAACATTGAAAACCTGAAAGCACTGAACGGACATTTCATCCTCTTGTGGAACTTTTCAGCAGTGCGTTTGCGTGCAAAACTGAAGACCCTCGGTCCGAATCCCTCTAGCGGGATTGTAAATGTACACTGCTATGGAGTCTAACAATAAGATGAAACATCCGTCCATTGCTTCCACGTTTTCAATGATGATCTAACATCAATCGATTCATGATCTCAATCAATAAATTACCAATTTGTTTATTTATTTTTATTAAAGATCAGTGTTGGGTTCGAGTCTTAATGTGAATAACAACATTAAGATTTCTGTATAATCAGATGATAAGTCCTAAGTAAGATGAAATGTATATCTTTAATTTCATTACATATATATGTTTACATATTACTTCAAGTCTTTCTTTTTAATTTTTCTATATAGAGAATATATGAATGAAATGTATATTAATCCAAATGATTGTACAAATCTTGAGGCAGATTACTGGCGTAATATTGCATTGAAAATGAATAATGAATTACATAATTTACAGAATGATGCAAATATACTTGTAAATATCTTAACAGAATTACAACCATAAAAATTGATTAATTAATTAAATGATTAATTAATTTACAAATGATATTATTGTTTATCGAAATGATGAAGTTTTGTTCTCTGAACTGGATCGTTTGGTTATGGAGATTTCATTGTTTTTCTGAACGACATTATCAGAACAAAAACAATGAAATCTTCATGACCAAACAACGAGACTTTAATTTATGGACGAGCCAATCAGAAGTGTCTGAAGGTTTCAGGGTCATGGCGCTAATTTCAATACCTGATGCTCAGGTACGATTGGTTTACAGGGGATTTTAGAGAAGATGTGATTATTGAGCGGCTACAAAAGATGAGGCTACTAAGAAGTTCCTTTATTTGTGACTGTGGTAATCAAATGACTGCTGTTCAGATTACCGTGATGAGATTGTCTTTCTATGTTATTTATGTTAGAGGAAGAAGTTTGCTCGAACGGGAACTTTCTTCGCTCGATCACGATTGAGACTAAGACAAGTCATGATAGTTGTTGCAAATCGGATAATAAAAGCACTGGCTGCAACATTTGCAGACGTTACTGAAACTTCAGCTGTTCAGTGGTGTGAGTATTGTAGGGATATATGTGCAATGAAAATGACAGGTTTACACGAGTCGTTTGGAGGAGTTGGGAGAATCGTTAAAATAAACGAAACAGTAGTCCGGAAGCAAAAATATAACGGAGGACTTAGTTTTAAGGAAGACTGGGTAAGTAGCACTTCCATAAATATACCTCACAGGTACTCAGAATTTACAGCAGACAAACCCAAAAGGGACACTTCCAAAAGGTTAGAAACCGACAAGCAACGACAATAATACCAATTATACGGGAATAAGTGCAGCCGGGTACCACAATATATACGGGTGATTGGAGAGCCTACTAATGCCTGCATAGACTTGGTTATGTGCATCATGTCGTTATCCACAAGTACCATTTTGTGGACTCTACAAAAGGAGTGCACACTAGCGATATCGATGCTATGTGGTCGAGGCTAAAGGAGTTCATATGACCCTATCATGGCTTGAGAGTTTGACTACTATGGAGCCATATGCATGCGCTCCTCTACCGTATGCACTACGATTTCAGAACGTCTGAACCTCTTTCAAACCTTGATAAGTTTTTGAACCATGTACAAGAAATATATTCACTTTAATTCTTTGGTTTTCTATAATATTTTTACTTTATACTAGCTGTCTTCTGATTGGCTGATATTTCTCAAGGTCAATTAATATTTGTTCAGAGATTGTTCATGAATTAGAGTCTCTCCGACCAAACCATCCAGCTCAGAGAATAAGACTCCATCAAAATCATCCACTTGAGCTACAAGTCTTCACCATCTCAAAAGAGATTGAATTTATCCTAATGATTTTTTGTCTAATTTTAGTGAATTCAACGAACTAAAGCATATGCATAGAATCGTTTTCTGTCGTTGCATGAATCAGAATTTAGGATTCAGCTTTAATCACATTTGAAGCTCTATCACACTGAATACCTATATTGATAGAGTAACTTAAAGGTGAACTCTAACCTTTGAGTCAAAAATTACTGAGTTGCAGATTCAGGTTCCATATTAACACTGGAACTAATGTGTATTTGTATATGCTCTATTAGTATTTAAGCAACACAAAGTAAACTGACCTATAGTGTTTTTTCACTCTCCGATAAATAGAGAAATACATCTCCCGAGTTATAGTTGATGAAAACCAAGAGCCCTTTTTGTATCGTCAATTACCAATGTTGATGAAACTTTCAAGATACATCACATATTTATTCATATTAGTCAATTTGAGAATTGAGCAAGAACATTAGGCTGTTTTATTGACTTCAACGATGTTATTGAGATCCAACGATGTTAATGTGTAATCTTAACCAATCGACGAAATTGTGCGAGAAGGATCGTGGATGCGCACTGCTGAGAAGTTCATCCAGTGCTTTCAGGTTTTCAATGGTGGTCTAATATCAATCGGTTCATGATCTCAATCAAAAACTTAATAATCTCCATAACCCTATAATGTTAATAGAATTTGTTAATCCGTGATATAAGTCATTAGTTGTGCATCAACTGACTTACTTAGGTAGCAGAATACTACGACAAAACAGTCTTCCAGTGTCTTCAGTGGTACTCTAGCTACGTTTGTGATCCAAACGATGGAAAATATAAATATTGATTTAAAAAGTCAAGATACTTTAATTCCGTGTAAAACGCCATAATCTAAAATAAAAACTTGATTCATAATCATATGCTTGAATTTCTTAAATCTACTCCCAGTTAATTGATTGTATGCTCTACATATATTGAATATTGATAATAAGTACTACTCTGACAAGACTAATGACCAGATGTTCTTCAAACACAGTAGACAATTAGTTTCAGTTAATGCTGAAGGCTAAATGGTGTGTGACGTCAAGTTGTATAATTATAAGATAAATTGTTCAAAATATATGTATTCCTTGGAGGATGTATGATGTTTATAATTTCAAATCTAACTTGATATTATAGTGATACTACTTTCACAGTGTATTTATGTTTTCCATATACTACTTACTAATGACAAGTACTATTCTGACAAGAATCAGAACTACTACAATGTGTATTCCGAAACTATTCCTGTAGTCTAATATGATGTCACCATTGATTCTGTATTTTGTTTATATCCTATCCTTTACATCATTAATATTTCTTTGACAAGTGTTCAGTTCATACAATTGCTGATTCATATTTTTTTCAATTAATTTACATGTTATTAGCATAAATTACATAAACTTGTATTTCTTAAACAAACTACATTAAATGAAAGTATAAAAGTTCACAATGAGATGAATCAGAGAAGTCATCTTTATCATATGAATAGATATTATGTAATTTAAAGATAATCTTAGTCATAGACTTAGATCACTTAAAGAATAAATAAAATGCAAAAGTATTAGATAATAGTTAATGATGTGAATTAAAAGTTTAACGAGTGTAATTCAAAACTTACCAATGAAATTGATCTAGTATTATCACTTTGTGTTATAAGTTAGATAAAGTATTTTTGACTATTGTTTGTATAATCGGTGAAATTATAGTAATAAATTCTATTGAAGGCCTGATAGGTTCAGGGTCAATCATTCAAGATGTTCTGAGTACATTCTTTGAAATCAATTCAAACTAACATGAAAAATATCTATTCAATGTTATCATATTTTCAATCATTCTCAGTGAAAAATGAATTTAAACTTTAACATACTATATAATCTAATGGCAATCTGAACTCAGTAGCTAGGTGAATAGCGTAATAAACTTTGAAGTGAGTGGTAATTGGTTCTAGTTCTAGATTGAACGTCAACTCTGGAATATATGTATATCCAGCTGACGAATACAAAATAAGACAAAACGTGCGTCCTGGATTCCACTGCTAGCCACTATTCATCTTTGTTTACAAAGAAGTACTTTGCTTTTCAGTGAATAGTTACTAATGTCACATTTATTTCAGTCAGTCATTTAGTTACAACGTAGGACCAGGCACCTATATGCATCGGTCCAAGTTGCCACACCTCATTAGCACAACAAGATAAACACTGGATTCATAGAAGCAGTTAACTCAATGGTGTAATATATAAAGGAAAGATTTTATGTAAGGATATAGTACAGAAAGAAAGAATTAGTTCCTACAAATAATTTTAATCTCATATCAATTTAGGTATTGTGGAGATTGTCAAGTTTTTGATTGAGATCATGAACCGATCGGTGTTAGACCACCATTGAAAACCTTCAAGCATTGGATGGCCGTTTCGTCCTAATGTGGGACTCCTCAGCAGTGCGCATCCACGATCCCGCTCGCGGGATTCAAAACGAGAGCCTTCAGTCTCGCGCGCGAAGGCTTAACCCCTAGACCACTGAGCCGGCATCCAACGATGTTAATGTCTAGCCTCAACCAATCCACGAAGTTGCGCGACCATCTTCCATTGTACTGTGGTAGACACCTGTTTCTACTCGACACGGATTAGCTCCACTGGTCACGACTTCTCACCAGAACTCCGAGAATTTTCTCATGAAGCTAGTCACTAGTGAGCCGGCTCAGTGGTCGAGTAGGTTAAGAATTCGCGAGCGAGACTGAAGGCCCTGCGTTTGAATCCCGCGGGCGGGATCGTGGATGCGCACTGCTGAGGAGTCCCATGTTGGGACGAAACGCCCGTCTGCTGCTTCCAGGTTTTCCATGGTGGTCTAGCTTCAATTGACTCATGATCTCAACTATTGACAATGATATGTACTTATTTGACATTTCTAATTAGAAATGAAAACGAATAATTAAGTAATAATGTACTGAAGGAGAATACAAGTGAGGACAACCGATTATATTTACCATAAAAAATATAGAATTACTTGATAAACTAGAAAAACCATTTTCCAATACTTCATCTACAAAATGTTCATTAATTGTCTAAAACTTAATTATTCCTGTATTTCCATAGTAATTACTTTCTGTTCCCACTCTTCTTTCCTCGATCTTCTTAACCTTCTGTTGTCAAGCATTCTATTGTTGACTAACGTTATATACTACTTATATCAACACACATCACAGTAACAATATCTATTAATGAATTGAATGAATTTCCATAATGACAAAATAAAATAAATAAGAGAATGGAATGTAGTCTAACACAAATGTGTTACCAATGTTGTTATGATACTTAATTACTACAATGTATTTATAATGCCCAGATACATAAACGGAATCTTCTCTTTTTTCTCGACGATTCATTTATCATCTTTTTATAATTATATTTTGATCATTGTTACTATCATTGGGGTTGGTTCAATTGTGTAATAAAAATGAGAGAGAAAAAAAATAATAACACATGATTTCATATTATATTATCGTATTATTTCTGATTACTATTGTTCAGATACTGTATTAAACAGATAGATGAACACAATGTATAGGCTAGTGATTATATTATAATCACAAGGAATACTATTATCATTTTCAAATGATCATACTATACTACAGAGATTTTATTAAATTACTTAATTTGGTATCATAGTCTGTAACTTGATCATTT